GAGGAAGTGTGATCGGCTGACGGACTATGCTCGGTAAAGGGGATGGAGGCGGGCGGCGTAATACTGGGGGTCCGGTATAAAAGTCTTCCCCGTGTGTTTGAGGTACAATACTGAAGGTTACGTCATACGCCACTACACCATCACCACCACAGCTCCATCATGAACATAAATACACAACACTGGAGATCTGGTCATAAGGTAAAACTGATGCGTTATTGTTTCGTTTTGTTTTTGTTTTTTGAGGAAATTAACTTTTCTGTAGTTGCTATCAAATACGAAATTTAGATAGAGTTGGTGTTGTTTTCATTGTCATCTTAAATATACGCGTTCATCTAATTATGGGACTTGATGATATGATGTCTTTATCGCAGTCAAGAAAAATAATTTTAGAGAAAAAACAAGAGTAACGTTCACACAGTATTTCAGTTTTCATTTATAGGCTTCACAATCTCACACTCACGCAGGAGCTCTGGACGCGCGTACACCTATGTGCGCACGTGTGTGTGTGTGTATGTGTGTGTATGGCGAGTACAAAATTACTTCAGAGGACAAACGAGCACGAGAGATAACACCTAATATAAGGACAGCAGACAATATATATATATAATATATAATATTAGTGTTCGAAATGCATTTACAGAAACGTAAATGGTTTTGTAGTGGACGTCTCCCCTACAACTGCCTACAACTGCGTAGCCACAGCCACCACCTGCTACCATCCTCCCTAGCAACCAACCAGATGTTACCGTATCTTAGCAACGGAACTAGTGACCGGCGACTTCTCGGGTTTTCCCAACATGACTCATAGCGGCTGCTGGGTATATAAGCTCTGTCTCTCCATTGAGATTCATTCTGACCATTCTTCTTAAACAAGCAACACCTCCTCCTCCGCCGCTGCCTGGCTGCCTTCGCTTCTCCTCGCCTGCCTGGCGGTCCTCGCTCCCGCTAGTGAGCATGGCGACCCACCAGCTGTCCTTCTCTGAGCTTCCTCACCAACCAACTCTCATTCTGCCCATCTTCCTGAACAAGCACCTCCAGCACCAGACTGTCTATCATATAACTTATATTATATAAGAAAACCACATTAGAGTTTCCTTCCATCCTGAGTGCTAGACAACATTAATATCTCGATACCCCTACAATGGTGACTCCCGGAGATTAGCACTCACACAGGATGGAGGAGACACTGATCACGCTCCCAGTCTTCAAGCAGACACCGGCTCCTCTTCCTGCCCCAAGCACCACATCCTACGACCCCAGCACACCCGTCCTGCCTCAGACGCTGACCCAGGCCCACACACCCCAGCAGGCGCATCTGACGACTCAGTACCTGCCGTGAGGGAAGCACACAACATCCATCGCCTCCACACCCCCTCTTTTCTCCCTCAGGTACTCCCTGCTAATGTCCTGCACCCTGCTGCTGTCGTGGACCCAGCTGCTGTCACGAGCCCTAATCCGCTTCTGCTGACGCAGCCCCTGCTCCTGACCCAGGCCCACACACACCCCAGCAGGCGCATCTGACGACCCTGTACCTGTCGTGAGGGAAGCACAACATTCATCGCCTCCACACACCCTTTTTCTCCCTTCTCCCACAGATAGTGTGTATCTAGACAGTTGTATTTCAGCGATCGGCTCATCACGCCATCGCCGTTGTCTCACATGAGGCATGCACCGCCCGGTCTGCCTCACATGTGCTAAGCAACTCTACAGACAACAAGTCTCCTACACCGCCTGGAGGGAAGGGGGAGTATTGTAGTGGACGTCTCCCCTACAACTGCCTACAACTGCGTAGCCACAGCCACCACCTGCTACCGCCTTCCCTAGCAACCAACCAGATGTTACCGTATCCTAGCAACGAAACTAGGAACCGGCGACTTCTCGGGTTTTCCCAACATGACTCATAGCGGCTGCTGGGTATATACGCTCTGTCTCTCCATTGAGATTCATTCTGACCATTCTTCTTGAACAAGCAACACCTCCTCCGCCGCCGCTGCCTGGCTGCCTTCGCTTCTCCTCGCCTGCCTGGCGGTCCTCGCTCCCGCCAGCGAGCATGGCGACCCACCAGCTGTCCTTCTCTGAGCTTCCTCACCAACCAACTCTCATTCTGCCCATCTTCCTGAACAAGCAACACCTCCTCCAGCAAGCTCCACGCTGTCACCATTTATTCAACCAGGAGGCCAGCAACAGGCAACATCTTCTCTAACGAAGCTCCTGCACATCTACCTCCTACAACACGCTACTCACCGAACGCTTCTATTGAGCAGCCCCCCTACCACACGGCACCTCCAGCACCAGACTGTCTATCATATAACTTATATTATATAAGAAAACCACATTAGAGTTTCCTTCCATCCTGAGTGCTAGACAACATTAATATCTCGATACCCCTACAGTTTCTTCGTAAAATGAAGTTTAGGACAATTATATAACAAACTGAGAAGAAAAAACAAACGTCACGTAACTCTCACGCCTCCACTCCCCTCCAACTCTCTCTCTTTCATCACTTGTTTATCTCCTCTCTTAGCGTGAGAGGCCAAGCAGGTATGAGAATAAGTAAGAGGAAGTAAGAGGTAAGGCGGAGGTAAAAAAGAAAGTAGATAAGACCACCATTACCGCGGCATTATTTATATAAGTTTTATATTATTCGTCTACTTGCCAAGATGTCTTGAGTCGCGTGGTACTTTGACTCGAGTGTTGGAGCTTTCGTTAACGTAGGTCAATAAACGGTTAGAGTTAGACCCTTTACAAATTAAGTCTCTTGGGTGGGTACGGTGTTGAAGGCGAACTAGAGCGTATTGGACAACTTTCAACTAATTATTTTACTGTCGCTGTTGTTCGGGTGAGTCATCGGTTCAACTCCTTGGTGTGAACTGATCATCAACCAGACGTGCTTGGTGATAATAGCGCTGATTTTCACTCGTACTGACTGAGCTTATTATTTCTCTTCCCAGAAACATGTCCTTACTTTTATCCTCTTCGCCACCGATCGGCTCGTTAGCCGCTTGTGGAAGTCCTGACCTAAAAAGACAGATAATGAAAGATAAATGTTTGATAATGATGTTTGTAATCCGAATGCAGATTTTGAAGATCATAACCTTTATCATACATAAATTATTTAATAATATTCGGTACATTTCCGTTATACCCCTACATAACCTAACCTAAATATTCTAAATACAATTTCCAGCCATAAAACCCATGGTAGGTGACTAGACTGCTTCTCTCACTAAGTTACCATAAAACGTCTCACTCTGGGAGGGAAAATTCCCAGGTGGGACAGTCATTCCTGTCAGTGTCACCTTCCTTAACCGAAGGCTCGACACTTTATATAGGTTCATACCCAAGAAGTGTGCTGGGCAGGTCAGAGTGAGAGACTGTAGCTGGATATTCAATTGTCTTGTATCAAGACAGCGTGTAGTTGACTGGTATATCGGTGACGACCTCGAAATTATGAAAATTAAATAAACGTAAATCCTGAAGACATGCGGCAGACTTGATTGCTTCATTGCCAACCCCGAGATAGTAATACTGACTCGTGGAGGAATAATGATATAAAGAAATTCATAAATTACTTGTAGTAGAAGGTTAATTCTTGTTCTATAGATTAGCCATACAAAAACGATCATTTATACGATAACTGGTCTCGAACAATCACATGACCTGGTATATCAGGTAGCCGGGGGTGAGGTGGAGGGTGTCAAGACGCTCACCAGCTGATGGACAATTCACTTTCAGAGTCGCTCTGACTGCCATGTATTACCTCACTCAGCAAGAGCAACAACAGGCGTTTAACATGCGATTTGTTAAGAAGCCTAACTTTGTTGACATGTCGCCGTCACCGTAGTTGTCACCATCGAAAAACCCACACCAAGGTCTTGTCTTCCGTGACAGTCGTCGTAGGCGAGATGAAAACCTTGAAAGAAAAAGATCAAGAGAAAGACTTTTTTTACTTTTGTCTTCTTCGCCACTGATCGGCCTGTTAGCCGCTTGGGCGGTTGGTAACATCTCTTGTTACGCATTATTGGCAAGTACTGGGCATGCATTGACTCGTTAATGTATCTGAACTTGGTCTAGTGTTCGTTAAGTCTGGTTTTGAAAGAGCTCACACTCGGTACCGTCACAACACTCTCGGGCAGGTTGTTCTAAAGTTCACAATTCTCACTCCGAAAGAGTTTGCACTCACACTGATCTGGACTTGAGGTTTTTTCAACCCTTGAACTGTGATCTCTTGTGGGGCGGGCGTCCGCCAGTTCCAAGTAAGGACACTTGACAGAGTAATGTCCTTTGAGAAGTTTATACACTTCAGTTAGATAACCCCTTGCCTGTCTGTAGTATAAGCTAGGCAGTTGCAGGCGTTCTAATCTCTCTGGATAACTGAGATGCCGGAGTGCAGGCACCAGTCTGGTGGCCCTCCTTTGGACATTTTCAAGCAACTGACAGTCCCTAACATATCTCGGAGACCAGACGGGGTGACATTACTCCAGACAGGAAAGCACCTCACTCTTGAAGCTCGTGGTACCTGTCCCCAGCACCCCTATATTACCGTCTCCCCTATATTACCGTCTCCCCTATATTACCGTCTCCCCTATATTATCGTCTCCCCTATATTATCGTCTCCCCTATATTACCGTCTCCCCTATATTACCGTCTCCACTATATTACTGTCTCCCCGGCACCCCAGCATGAGGGAGATCGCCATACACTATACAAGTGATTCAGCACATATATAGACACTGCAGATAAACTTTGTACATAGAGAGTGTCGGTACCTAGACAGTACAGGTACACTAAACAGGATGGCAATTCAACCAAGGACAGCCAGCGTCACCATCAGAATTCCAGTGAGTTTCCCTAGTGGCTCTGATGTCCCTAGGCTGTCCATCCATTACCCTGGCTAGTCCCTTCTTCCGCCATAGCCCTGGGACAATTACAAAACTGGCGACGGTGTATATAAGAGCAGACGCGCACTGACAGCCACACAACTCTCGCTCTCGGCCCGTCGTCGCCTTCTACTCCTCTTCCCACCAGGACTTTGCCTCCACCGAGTCTTCTGCCACAACCTTGAGTGATCGACCAGCTAAAACTTTGGTCCTTCCCGTGTGAGGACCTTCAGGATCTTCCCATTTATGATGACAAAGATCACGAGGAATATAATATTTGCCGGTAAAGTATTCTAATGTTACATTATTAACTATTTAAGTATTATGTAGGAATAACAATTTTATTTACATCACGTTCTATATAAGCCAGTGAGGGGTATAAGTGTATATATAAGAATGATGGATAAGTAGTCATAGTAGTGCATCCATAAACATAATCATCAATGTCAGTGTTATGTAGTACACAGTTAAAATCAAACACCATTTACAGGTTGGCATCATCTAAGGCTTAGGAAGATCAGTTGGGACAAGTAGACAATTAACTAAACTATCAGTCAGCGTCATCAACCTACATGTTTAACACTGAACAGTCTCCCCAAACACTTTCTCGGTTGTGTAGTAACAGAGATGGTCAGTACAGAGTCTTTGCTTTATGGCGGACATTCACTGTCTTAACAAAAAATCACCACATTTACTCAATATAGAGGTCAATCTACATCAGCTTCTCAAACTGCGAGTAGATGATAATACTTGTTTACTTCAGTGGATTGAAAAACCAAATACCAGTCACCTAAAATAATAAATGAGCTGATCAGCCTGATGGGCAACCAGCTTCTTCGCCAGGTCCTCCGTGACATTAACGATGCCAAGTCATTGCTGATAAGACGAGGGACAATGCTAATGCTAAGCAATTAGGGATATACATCAGCAATTGCTTAGTTCATGAGAGCCTCATTGGACTAGCACAGGTTCCAAAACTGATGCTGAAACTCTTACATTTACCCTAATTTACGCCCTCGTGTTACCCCTCAGTCAAGCTAATGTAGGGGCATCCAATATGCCTGGTCCAAAGAGTGGTGTAGCTGCATGCATTCTTAAGGAAGAACCAGCCACCCTTCCTGTTCACTGCCCTGGCACATTGCATAAATCTATGTCTCCAGGATGCAAATCGTCAAAACACTTTAGTCAGAGGTGTCCTGGATCTGGTGTTTGAGTTAGTTGGCCTAATCAAATTTTCCCCAAAGTGGGGACATCATTTTTCATCACTTCAGGAGGAGTAATCTCAGAACAGTCCAAACCTAAAGCTACTGTGTACATCCAGGTGGACATGCCGCAACTCTTTCAAATACACTCTGCTTGAAAATTATAATATTCTACTAGTAACTCTGAAGAAATCAATGCAATGTGCAAAGATGAGTAGGGCAGGAAGGCTTGTGGTTTCCATTTCCTGGTGGAGAAGTTTTCCACATTTGTTGGCTTAAAGATGGCACACCTGGCCTTCAGTGCTTCAGAGCATTATCATTTACTTTGCAAGGAAAGAACACAACCGCCCAAGATGCTTTGGCAAAACCAATCTTGCAAAATCTTTGTATGACAGGCAGAGAGACCCATCTGCATTCCAGGCATTCTTCCAACAAGTTGTATCAGATGCTGAAGGGAAGACAGATCTACACCACTGATTTATACCTGAAAATGACCTGCTATATTTTCTTTATTTCGTAAGGCCGTATTAATATGCTATGCAATTCCCTCTTGTGCTCGTTGTCCACATAATCAAGACTTTCGACATTGTTAGCCTTTCCATGTTTGTGTTATGCGAAAAAAAATTCCTAAATGTAATACGGGTAAGTTCCTGATATCCTGAACCTTAGATAAAGTGTTCATTCACTTCCGGTTTTTATGTTCACACTGATGGAATTTCTCTCCTCAAGACTGGGTTTGGTAAGGAATCTATGATGGACAGTTTAGTGTAGATACAAGATCTGTTTCCATAAGGGTGAAGCTGGCGAGGATTAAAGCTTGGCAGAGAAACATATTTATACCAGTCAGTTAATCCATGATTCACCTGCAATATTCCAGTTCCCTCTCTTGGTCAAGCCTTAAATCGAAAGTAGGTTGATGTGAGTGTCGAGTGAAGGTGGCCTTTTAAATTAATTTATTCAGGAAGTTAAACAGGTCAGTGTTAACGAAATGTGCAGAGTAAACATACTGTGTCTTACAAATGAAGCAATCGGAAATTCTTGCCTGCAATATCAAGTTGTGGCAATGATAACCTGTGGATTTACCTAAGCACAACATGTGCTTACACAACAGCTGTGTAAGTAATATTTCCTAGGTGTTGAGGTGATCAGATTTCAGAGTTTGTAAACAAACTCCTGAAGGTGACATATAAATACCCTTCCCCATTTAACTTTTCGAGATAATTTGTTAATTTTATTTCATTGAAACTAGATTTTTTTGTCTTTTGCTTTTCTTAAACCGAGGAAGTCTACTTTCCTCAGTTCATCTTGGGAACTATGCAGGTTGGACAGTTGCTTCTTATGTTAAGGTTCGTGATGGTGGTGTAGGGGCATCGAGATATCAATGTTGTCTAGCACTCAGGATGGAAGGAAACTCTAATGTGGTTTTCTTGTATATTATATGATATATGATAGACAGTCTGGTGCTGGAGGTGCAGAATGAGAGTCGGTTGGTGAGGAAGCTCAGAGAAGGACAGCTGGTGGGTCGCCATGCTCGCTGGCGGGAGCGAGGACCGCCAGGCAGGCGAGGACATGCGAGGGGCCGCCAGGCAGCGGCGGAGGAGGAGGTGTTGCTTGTTCAAGAAGAATGGTCAGAATGAATCTCAATGGAGAGACAGAGCTTATATACCCAGCAGCAGCCGCTATGAGTCATGTTGGGAAAACCCGAGAAGTCGCCGGTGAATAGTTTCGTTGCTAGGCAACGGCACGTTGGAATGTGATAGCAGGTGGTGACTGCTACGCAGTTTGTAGGGGAGACGTCCACTACAGTGGGCTGGTAATAGGAAACTCGTATACCTTACTCAGATTTACATTGTAATTACTGTATACACTAATCTCATTACACGAAATTCCGTCATTAATTTCCCATCACTGTACTCTGTTGTTTATTCTTTTCTAGTGTTGAACAAAATGTTTACATCTCGGTATTTTTCTCAACAGCTTTGATAGGCATCTCTTCGGCACAACAGAAAACTTACCTGGCCCCAACACACAGCTACAATGTTAACGGAGGCAATGATAATATTGGAAACAAAGAATACAATTATGGTGATTATAGTAATGGATATAACAATAACGGAATTAATAACAGTAATAACAATGGAAATATAGTCAGCAATGGCGACAGGGGATTTTATTTTAAAGCAGACACAAATTTTAATGGAAACAATAATGGCAACGAGAGTAGTGATTTCACCACTGAAAACGAATTTGAAGTTTACACAAATGTTAACGAAGTAAATGGCAACGAAATTAACGATGCTGAATATATTGAATTTAATGAAGACGGGATTGGAGATTTCACCGATGGAAGTGGCAATGGAGATTTCACCGATGGAAGTGGCAGTGATGATTTCACTGATGCAAGTGGCAGTGATGATTTCACTGATGGAAGTGGCAATGGTGATTTCACTGATGGAAGTGGCAATGGTGATTTCACTGATGGAAGTGGCAATGGTGATTTTTATGATGGCAGTGAAAATGAAAATGACTATGATGATTTCAACGATGTAGACAGCACTGGTGATTACTACACTGGTACTGGTGATAATCTCCTGGACTCTTGCTGTGACAATACTATGGGTGGAGGCGTTCCCGGGGAGGACTACCCGACTCTGGTTTCAGTTCCTGAAACTGGGTTCACCTGCAAGGGACGTTTACCTGGATACTATGCTGACACTGCCCCCGAGGCCGGCTGTCAGGTGAGTTATGTCAACCAAGTTCCTTGTATTTCCACACTTAGGGTTTGTGATAAGTGACTCATTCTCTTAAAGCCCAGGTAAACATTGTCTACTGTGGAGTTATTTTGACCATTTTCTTTTCACTTTTAAGATAATGGAAAGTAACAGTCAAGTTCACTTATCATTTCTTAAGTGTTTATAGTTATATAATAATAAGTAAATGAATAACAATTAATCAACTTTTTACCACAAATAAATACAGTATAGTACTGTTATACCCTCCCCTACTCTGAGATTGTTCCCTATTTCATGTTACAACCTTTAGCCAATTACTATTATTATTTTGTTTCACTTGTGTCAGTGTCGTCAAGCTGAACACTAACAGTCGCCACAACACCACCACGAGTGTATAATGTTGTCTTTGGGAAAATGACTTGTGTACGACCTTGTTCAAGAGGTTCAATATCCTGGGTTGTTAGTTGATTGTTGGAGTTAGAATCTATTCATATTTTTGCTGCTTAAAATTTGTGAAAGATACTGAACAAATTTTGTTTGTCATTTTGTTTGTAACTTGAGATTAATTCTAGCTTGAGATTCATTAGTGACCCACATGCTATTGTTCACTCTTACCCCACCTGATCATCCTCCCTGTGACATGTTAGTCAACCAGATGACCCTCGTGTTGAACAGTCCCAACCACTACAGCTGTGTCTTTGTCTCTTGTCCTCGACAGGTGTTCTACATATGTCAAGCAGATGGTAGGATGAACTCGTTCCTGTGTCCCAACAGCACCATCTTCAATCAACCATACTTTATCTGTGACTGGTGGTACAACGTTAACTGCTCTATCGCTGAACAGTTCTATGATCTCAATGCTCTGATTGGAGAGTCCAACAGCAATGGGAATGGATACTCAAATGACAGTGGAATTGGGTATATCAACAGCATTGGATTTAACACTGGCATCGACAACGGAAATGGTCACACTTTCGCTCCTGATAACGGAACTGAGATCATAAACGGAGATGAAAATAGTCATTCAAATGAAAACAGGAACAGCTATGATGTCACTGATAGTAACGATGTCACCGCCAGTAACGGAAATGACAATGAAGGTGACGGCAACAATAACGAGAACATCTACACAAACAGTGCGAGCAACGTAGATGGAAGTGTCCGTGGAATTAACGAGGAAGTCACAAGTGGCAATGGGAATGGTTACTCAGATGGCAATGGAAATAGCAATGACATTGGTAATAAAAATAGTAACAGTAATGGAAATGGTAGTGAAAATACCTACGATGCCAGAAATGGTTATGGAAATGAAAATACATATGATAACAGTAGTGGAAATGGCAATGGTAATGGAAACACTAATGAACATGGTAGTGGAAAAGTCACCATTAATGGAAGTGACATAACCAATGGAAATCGTTATATAAATGGCTACAGCAATGGAAATGATGTTAATGGTAGTAGCAATGATGATGATAATGAAATTAACTACCCCATTGGAAACAGAAATGATGTGTATGGTAATGATGGGAGTAATGGGAATGAAAATGGATATGCCATAAGCTTTGACAACAGTGATAATGGTAATGACTCTTACAATGTTAATGGAATCAATAGTAATGGCAACAATAATGGTAACAGTAATGGCAGTGGTAACAGTAATAGCAACAGTAATGGTAGTGATAACAGTAATGGTAACAGTTATGGTAGTGGTAACAGTAATAACAACAGTTATGGTAGTGGTAACAGTAATAGCAACAGTAATGGGAATAGTGATAGCAATAGTGATGGTAGTGGTAACAGCAATAGTAATGGTAATGGTTATAGCAACAGTAATGGTAACCGCAATATCAACAGTAATGGTAACAGCAATACCAACAGTTATGGTAATGATAACAGCAATAGCAACATTAATGGTAGTGGTAACAGTAATAGCAACAGTAATGCCAACAGTAATAGCAACAGTAATGCCAACAGTAATAGCAACAGTAATGGTAACAGTAATAGCAACAGAAATGGGTAATAGCAAACAGTAATAGCAACAGTAATGGTAGTGGTTACAGTAATAGCAACATTAATGGTAACAGTAATAGCAACAGTAGTGGTAACAGTAATAGCAACAGTAATGGTAATGATTACAGTAAGAGCAACAATAATGGTAACAGTAATAGCAATGGTAATGGTTACAGTAATAGCAACAGTAATGATAATGGTTACAGTAATAGCAACAGCAATGGTAGTGGTTACAGTAATAGCAACAGTAATGGTAACAGTAATAGCAACAGTAATGGTAATGATTACAGTAATAGTAACAGCAATGGTAATGGTAACAGTAATAGCAACAGCAATGGTAGTGGTTACAGTAATAGCAACAGTAATGGTAACAGTAATAGCAACAGTAATGGTAATGATTACAGTAATAGCAACAATAATGGTAACAGTAATAGCAACAGCAATGGTAATGGTTACAGTAATAGCAACAGCAATGGTAATGGTTACAGTAATAGCAACAGTAATGGTAGTGGTTACAGTAATAGCAACAGTAATGATAATGGTAACAGTAATGGTAGTGGTTACAGTAATAACAACAGTAATGGTAACAGTTATAGCAACAGTAATGGTAACAGTAATAGCAACAATAATGGTAACAGTAATAGCAACAATAATGGTAACAGTAATAGCAACAATAATGGTAACAGTTATAGCAACAGTAATGGTAACAGTAATAGCAACAATAATGGTAACAGTAATAGCAACAGTAATGGTAACAGTAATAGCAACAGTAATAATAATGATACAGAAAGTAGGAATGATGATTACTATTACTACACTTCTGTTTATGACACATCAAACAGTAATGAAGGAAGAGGAGATGGAAATGGTTACTCTTTTGGTAACAGAATTAGCTACATTAACGGCAATGGTAATAGTAACACATACAGTAATGGCAATGGAAATGACTACACTTTCAGCAATGGGAATAATAATAGCAATGGTAATGGCTTCACTTACAGTAATGGAAATGGTAACAGTAATGGAAATAGCAATGGTAATGGTAACAGTAATAGAAATAGCAATAGTAATGGTAACAGTAATGGTAATGGTAACAGTAATGGAAATAGCAATGGTAATGGTAACAGTATTAGAAATAGCAATAGTAATGGCTTCACTGGTAACAGTAATGGAAATAGTAATGGTAATGGTAACAGTAATGGAAATAGGAATGGTAATGGTAATAGTAATAGTAATAGACATAGCAATAGTAATGGCTTCACTTACAGTAATGGAAATAGCAATGATAATGGTAACAGTAATAGAAATAGCAATAGTAATGGCTTCACTTATGGTAATGGAAATAGCAATGGTAATGGCTTCACTTACAGTAATGGTAATGGAAATAGCAATGGTAATGGTAACAGTAATGGAAATAGCTACACATTTGGTAATGGTAATGCCCAAGGCTATATCTACACCACTCCGCCCTTCCCAAATGGGTTACATCAGATGTCATAGACAAGCTCCTCTCAGCCTACTCTCACAGCCTTCAGTTTCTCATTCAAATTACCGAAGCTGTACTGTATTTGTCTCCACATTCGCTCTCCCTAACAACTGTCTTGTTCAATATACGGCGACCACAAATAAGTCAAGTCACTAACCCTGAGACACTGAGGTGACACTCAACCCCCAGACACAGTGACTTTTTTAACATTTTAGTTTAATTTTGACTTCCCATTTATTAGTTTACTTCTACACATCGGAAAAAATATTTTATTATTCCTTGGTGTTAGCACTGGCATCAATATATGCATCTTTACTATGGTTAGTTCTATTTCTCTTACGGTAAGCTTTGTCATCAATTGTTTGCTATGATTCTAGTGATTTGGATTTCATGTTTCATTTTCTATTTCTTTGCATAAAATATCCGAATTATTGTTATTTTTGTCAAGTTTTGTTTGCTCAAAAACTTCAGATTTTTTCCTTTCTATTTTTTTAAGGCAACTCATGTTATGTTAAGTGTTCCTGGGTATTAATTATCAAATATTTCCCAGCCTGATGCTTCTACGTTTACTATTCAAAACATAATAGACCGGTGACGAAATGTCCGCCCAACGTATTTCATGTAAAGTGACTTATTCATAGACTGTAACTGTTTATATCAAGTCTGGTAATATTTGAGATACAGAACACACTTGTGCCATATGGTTTTTAAATATGCTTGCTCACAGGGTATCATTATTTTTGTACTGTACATTGTATCATTAAAAATAAATAAATAAATAAAAATATTGACTAAGTTTTTCACTGTCCTTGTGGTGAAAATACTCAGAGGAAGATGTCAAAGATAGACAGACAGAAAGATAAAAATTATCATACTGAGATTTTTCCAATTGTACTATGTTAAGAGTAAATCACAAAGAGTATTAAAACAATTTATTCATAAAAAAACTATATTAACATACTGTACATGCACTTATAAAATTCATTAGTGTGTATAAAATGAGGGAATGATCTTGAAACCCATCATATAGCGGAGTCCACAGCCAGGCACTTCTCATAATACATAGATTGTTTACCTAGGGATCAGGGCCTTTTTACCATCTCCCTAAAAGCCAGAAGTGATTTGTTAATCCATTTTGGTAAGTCCATCAACCCATCATACTAACTACTTTAAATGAGGAGAAATACTGTAGGTGCAAAATTTGTCTTCAATAGGCATGAATGTCTGCTCTCACCTTTAGAATTTGGGAATAATTCCTCACTCGCATTTCTAGCCTACACCCTAAAGCCAGGCAGCCTTTAAAATCAAGAGCCATTTGGATGAGAAAGGAGGTGCTATACAAACTCTTAAGGATTATATACGGTAGATGCACCACCAGGAGAACTGACCTAGTTATATTTCCTTTAATTGGGTTGGGTTGGGTTGTTATCCTGAAACCTTCACAAAAAAGAGCTATCAGTAGTATACAAAATCTAACTGATCAACCACTAGAAAATACATCCCCATGGAAACAAATTGGGTAAAATCATCTCCCAAGTCACAAACCAGGTACATATCCTGCCTGATGGTTAAAAAAAAAATTTGGTTAATTATGAGAGACATTGATCCGAATTCTAAAGATTGCATATACAGTACAGTACTGCCTTGACATGGAGTGGACAGTGTTAAACTTTAAGAATATCTCCCAGACGCTCTCATTTGAAGGAGACAGTGTGATGAGGAGGGAGTGGTGAGTAGTTATACCTAAAGGGATTAACAAATCAACCTTTGGGGATCAAGGAAAATTTCTTCTTCCAGTAAGCAGCCTGTTATGAGAATCCCTTAGCTTCAGGGTGTAAACTAGAGATCCTATGATTTTATCTGAATCTTCTATATTGTACATTTAAGATTCATGGAAATCCTAAGCAAGTGATGTGTGTGTGTGTAAATTACAGTGAACCTCTGTTAATGAGAAACAATCTAAATTAGCTAAAAAGATGAAAATAAATGGGGTGGTGTGTTACACAGGGTAACACTTTATAGTAACAACTCTTTTAAAAGCTTTTGTCCTCCAACTATCACACACAATTTACAATTCAATTAATTTGCAGCAATGTATGTTAAAAATATTTACCCAACTACGTATTTTAATTTACATTTATCTTGTTCCATTTTCCCTTAAAAAACTTTATTGAATCTCCAGCATATCAAACACCTGAGAGAGTGGCTACTGTGGCAGTATTTGAGAGCAGGTTTCTTGAAACTGAGGTCGATGTTCTTTGTTCAGGAACTGTTCAAATTCTGGAACAAACAAATCTGATTAATATCATATTCTTAATAGAAAAACATCCACTGCATATTTATAAATAAAAAAAATAAAAATTTCTATTAAAGTCATACATACAGTACAGTACAGTATTATAAAATGAAGGACTGATCCTGTAGCTTGAACCAGGTGACTCCTGTATTACCAGCTGAAGTCTAAAGCTAGAAAACCCAAGTCCCATGACCTTGGTGATTGAAATTAATGTATCAATCAGTTCAAAATTATTCCTACCACAGCCCTTAAAAGGCAATTTCAGAGACATCTGCTTAAGCTCTGCAAATCTTTCTAAATTCTGTGTAGAGAGCATACCCCCAGGAATATCCCAAAAATTTATAATTTTCCTCATTTATGGTTTTTTGCCTCGGTCTCTTTCTTAATAAACCTGCTAAATTTTCTAATGAGGTGTCCTGACTTATGTTTCATAAATCATGTATTGTACTGTACTTGTAATGTTAATTTCACCATGAACTGTCAACCTGACCCAAAATTACTTTGGGGTTATGATAAAATTCATTCCTAGAGGTGTCAAAGGAAGACTGATTTGAGTTAGACTTAATTAGCTTCACTACTATGGAAATTAAAGATGCAACATTAGTCATTTACCAAGGAATTTCCTTTGTCTTTTGTACACACAATCAATAAAATATACTGCTTTATACTTAACTCTGCAAAATCAAAAAATTATTCTTGAATTTTTACTGTGTGAACTATCAATAGCACAACAACAAAGTTCATTACTGAGACGACAAGACTTACTTCTAAAGAGACGATGGTACTGAGGGTTGTCAATAAAGAGAGATGCTAAGATGTCCACCATTCGCTCATAATCCTTCTTCTGCTTGTAAGACTTAACAGCTGCAGAAAATTCAGCATACTGCTCCTTGTTTAATGATGACTTGACCTGTATATTCAATTAACAAATATTATACGTAGCATTTGGAAAGTCTTATACTAACTGATTACTAATATATGTATATTTATGTGGGTGTGAGTGGAGTATACTTACAACATATATGGACATTCATCAGGGGTGTCAAAATCTTCCCTATTTTCTCAATCCTTTGAAATGATACGATCTTGTGCACTTATATAAGTCGATTCTAAACAGTGGTTTTCATGAATCCTCATAAGTTTGGCACAAAAAAAGTCAAAGCTAGGGACTCTTAAACAAACAAAGTTAACTTTTCAAGGGAAATAGAGTTACATTCATGGAGCTCAAAATAAGACATTTTATACAATACTGTACAAATATTTTTCAAGGTAGTAAAGCAATCATTTGGACTACAGTAACTACAGCATGCACTTGTGAAAGAGAGAATACTGTATTACTAGTGGGTAGAGATAAAAGTATTAGGTAACAGTGCCCGCCTCCACGTATGTGTTCAACCACACAGCTTACACAGTACAAGTACACTCATTTCTCTTCTCTCATCTTGGATCCTTCTCACATAGCTCTCAGGACCAGCTAAGAAAACCTCTCTTCATCAACTCCACAATCCACCACTCCACAATATACAGTTTACACTTATTGCAGCTCTGCCATTCCAAACAAGTCATACAATCAATTAGTTTGACAAATTCTGATTCATACAAAGGGAGTCATTGTCTCATTATTTTGTTTATCAATAAATGGAATGTCTTCCAGCTATTCTATTCACTGCATTATGTGAGTAGTTACCAGTAATCTGTTTTGGCCATTGAATTTTGAGGTTATGAAAATGGCACCATGGAGGAGTAATGGTAATACATACACAAGCTAAATAGCAATAATGCTTGCATGAAGATTGTTAATCATTCCAACTTGAACACTGGTGCCACTCTTATTACATATAAAAAAGTTATTCTATGAATACACAAAGGAGTCACATCCCCAATTCAACTTTAATTCCCACCAATTGATGATAATTGTGGCCTTCTGAAGATTACTAAAACCAACAGAAACTTATCAGACGCATTTATAGTTTTATCCCCAAGTTGTGTTCATACCTAAGTACAGTAAAGACTCTGAGTACTGGACTAACTAAGTCAAAGCAATGTTGTTTGGACTAACTAAGTCAAAGCAATGTTGTTTGGACTAACTAAGTCAAAGCAATGTTGTTTGGACTAACTAAGTCAAAGCAATGTTGTTACTCAGATGGAATTGGTTATTCAGACATCCATTTCAGCAGGGAGGCACAACTGTTCAAAACAACAGCCAGTATATTACACTGACACAGACTGGCTTATTTTAGCTCATAATAAATTTGCTCAAGTAAAATAATCATACATGTGATATATTTTCAGGAAATTCAGTTGTTTTTTATTTAAAGTGTTAATAGATGTCGGTAAGGTTCTATATTCTAGAAAATACATATATGTATATGTGGCATGGATGGCCTTGTGCCGTCTGCGATAATATGGATGATGTGGATGTGTACAATATACCATATATATTCTCGTACAATTTGAGTTTTTATAAAAATTTTATGCAAAAAGTATGCTGTTGAACTATATAAACATAGTATTTTTGAGGGGTGAAAATCATTAATTTCCATGGGTTATTTATGGTGAACAATAGCTACTCGGAACATGCTTGCAGTAGGCTACCCTTACCGAGCTGTGAAGTGTTATGTTTATTTTTCAACTCGTAATTTTGGGTAGATACTGTGTACAGTATGTAACTTTCTTCAATTCCCCCCCCCCCAGTTACATGCATGCACACTCCTCCATATATATTGTAAAAACCAAAGTAAAAGAAATAATTATCATAAGGGCAAACACACAAAGAGAATAAATATTTCTTTGCACACGAGTTAGGATTATGGGGGAGCTGCGTGTGTGGGAGGGGGCCGTTGCTAGGGAGTCGGCAGACAGAGTCCCAGGTATGCTGCGTTGTTATAGTGACTGACGAGTGTTGAGGTGGCCAAGGAGCCAGCATTTATGCAAATGGAGGTTGTGTTAATCTTCCTTTTAGCTTTTCGTTAATGGTTTTAGCTCCATTTCTTCATACAGATTATATACAAATGTAGTTTGAAGTACAGTAGCACAATTATTAAATAACAGAAGAAAGCTAAGTGACATGGGGAAAGAGGTACAGGGAGTCAGCCTTAATTTGCTTGTTTTTCAGTTTTTTATATTAGTTTTGTATCTGTAATAGTAACACCAGACTTAGCACTATAGCCACATTCCCGTAGACCTCTCCCTGGCACTCCAAGCCAAGCTATCAAATACGTTAAGGTTATTTTTAAACTCGTAATTTTGGGTAGATACTACTGTATACATTATTATATTTTTTTAAATATGTTATATGCACACACAATATTACATACAGAATATGCAAAAAATAAATAAAAATGAAATAAGTAATTATCATAAGGTCAAAAACATAGAAAGGAATAAACTTTCTTCATGTGTTAAGAGTTCACACTAAGTGCGGGGGAGGGATCTTGGCTATTCTGAGTTGCTCCCGTGTGTAGTGAAGCGATTGACAATTTGTTTTTGTCCAACAGTCAAATGCCAATACAGTATTTTTTTTATTTATTGGTATAATTTTTATATATTTCTCGTATTTATTGGTAAACAGGTACGTATATTACTTTACCTTATTTTTCATAAAAGTTGGTAACTGAAGGGAATTCAGATTCAGAGATAGTAACATTGTTCATAGCGTCAGCTGTTGTTGTGGTGGTCAAGGCCAAGCCACGTCGGTGTTGTTTGCTACAGATTATGTCTAGGATTATACTTAGTACAGTATTTCTCGAAAGCTAGGGTCGAATTAATTATAGGTCGATTTAATAATGAGTAAAAGGGAATAGGTTCCAATCCTTCATTATTCTGTATTGTTATGATGCGGGTCGGACTGGTGGGACGATGTGGACCCAGCCTCATCGCTCCACAATAATAACAATAACCTGCAAGTTGCCAAGTTATTTTTTTAATAAAAAATAAATAAAAAATCCCAGATTCGTGTCTTTATTCAGATGTGTTGTTACTTAGGTGTCTGGTACTCAAGGTGTATACTGTAATCAAAAAGCTATTTGGATTTAATGCAATTCAATAAAAATTAACCATAACTAACAAATATTCCTACAAAAACATTGTTTACTCACTTCTTTTATATAAGCAGCAATTGAGCTTAACTTCTTGTCATCTCCATTTTCTTTCTTTGAAGTCGAGATGCCATCAGATGTCTTTGTTCTTGATGATGATGGTTTGCAATTAACATCACCTTTTACATGTCCATCAATGGAAGCAGCGGGATGTAAGAACTCGCCCTGGCCACAAGTAATGTTATCTTGTGATCCACTGGATGACCCTGACCCAATCATATCTGGAGAACTACTTTCAGCTTGATTTAAGGGCTTCAGAATATGGGTCATGGTGTTCTGACTTCCTTGTTTCTCACCACAGTTTGCTGAGTCTACTGAATCAATATTTGGTACAAGTTTAATCTTTCTTTTCTTGTTCTGTATTTTAATACTACCATAGTCCGAAGAACACTGAGAAGAAACACTGCAAGCGTTAAAATCAACAACAGAAGATTTTTGTTCCAGTGCTGAAAATATTGAATTATCACCCATAGAGACCTTTTCACGACCTACAGATTTAGTATAGTTCATGCTAGACCAGACGGCATTATAATCAGACTCTTTTCTAAGTGCCTCAGTCATTTTCTTCTTTGTAGATTCTGAAATCACAGATCTTGATGAATCAGCCTGGAAGGCATGAGCTGACACAGGAACTTGAAATGTGGATTCTGGAGTTTCATACTTAACACTAAGGGCTGGTTGACCTTTATTTTTAGCTGCTGGTTGTGGTAACTGTCAAGTGAAACAAATAAAATAAAATTGATAAATTACGGAAATACAAATCCCATCTACACAGTTTATAATGCAGACAGACATAAGACTTTACAATCAATCGTTTCTTCTGCCAACTTCATTGAATAATCTGTACTGTCTGGCACATGTCAAAATCCTAAAAGGTGAAACAACAGCACAGCAGCATATATTACATGACATTTTCCCACAGTAAGTTACCATTTCTCAGCTACCTATTCTTACTGTCATTTCTCATGTTGGTCCATCTATAAAGACAAGGAGATATCACACACCCTTCATGCACTCCCCAGTTATTTCAGGCCTTTAATTCCCATTCATGTATTCCTGCCATCAGCTAAAAATAATTCTATATTGTATGCAACTTTCAGTACCTGTGAAAATAAGTTCCATTACATATTGTACTACAACATCAAGGAGACATACCAAAGTCTGTGCATTCTTGAAGAACTGAATAATATCCCTCATGGCTGGACCAAACACATTGTAAGTGTTTACATGAGGTCTAACCCACGAAGACAACTGCGCTTTAAAATCTGGTCCAGAAAATCGATTGTCACATAATATTATAGCTCCAAAGTCATCCTTGTGGCGGATAACTCGGCCAATAGCTTGATTAACAGCTCGTGACGCTTCTAACTGGTACCAAGCATAGCCCGTGAGACCTTGCTGGAAATAAAAAATAAGTAAGAATATTAAGGTGGCGAAACAAAATAAAAAATAACACGAGAATCTGCAAAAAGGTCAAAATGGGTCCCATAGACCTAGTGGTCTCTAAGGGACACTGTGGATACAAATCATTGAGTACACAAGAAGGCAGTAAGAATGACACTGCACTTTACAACAATGACTTCCCCTATTGTTAAGCTTGGTACCCACTTACAGCTGGGTCACATTCAGGGTGCTGTAGGATTAAACCAATGACTCTTAGAATATGTGTGCTGTATCCACTCAGGTATCATAATCCTCACCATGGGGTAACACTCCAGACAAAAGAGAACATAATTTGGAGCTGACAAGATGACAAAGGGTGATGTTGAACAAAACTCTGTAAGTGTAACTTACTTTGCATTTTGTTCGTATTTCTTCAAGATACTTCTGCTTTAAAACCACCCTGGGGTCTTTAAAAGGAGGATATGGTAGTCCTGTGACAATAACAGCTCGACCATTACGATCAGCAAAATCCAGGCCTTCTGAGACCTGAAAAATTTATTAAATTCAAAAATAGGCTACAGTACATGTTGCTAACATATACATCACCAAAGAAATGGTAGAAGATCAATACTTGTATGAAATAAATAGTGATGTACAACTTATTAACTACTGTCATAATGATTGTAACACACTGTCATTCCTCACCTTTCCTCGGCAAACTGCCATGAAACAAGCTCCTTTTAAAGTTGGATCATTAATCTTTATGTAAAACTCCTCCATGGCACTGTTAAACTCTTCCTTTGTCTGTGGCTCCACAAAGATCGGCTACAGAAAAACAATATAAAATCAATCATACTGTAGTACTTTATTGCCAGCCACATGTCCAAAATATTGTAGTACTCCATTACACATTCCATAGATTTGTCTTCCTATCAATCATGTCCTTTGAAGTCTGGTAACTACCCTTCCTTGTGGGGTTTACCTCACTTACAATCTTTCCAAAACATTTCAATTAACATCTGGTACTAATGTCTTGATGGTAGAGAAGTAAATAGACCACTGATCCAATCCTAATCCAGTTTTTGCCCAATTTTTTGGGGGTCACAATCCATATCCAATATTTTTGACTGACAGGTAAAATAACAAGCAATGACCAAACACTGGTATGTTGTACGCGACTGCAATCCTGATCTCTTAACACTAATTTTGAATTTGACTTTATAACTGCTAGTCCCTGCACCGTAAGTGTAGAAGGAAATTATTGTACAGAATGAATAAATGGATAATTAATGATTTAGTTCATTCTCATGAAATAATGACTTCGAATTTGCATAATAAAATACTACATTGAATTTTTATTGTAATCTCCCCATTAGCCGGAATCCCCAGTGCCCAGAAATCTCCAGTAGCCAGAATGAATTTTTAACCTTTCGGGAAATCTCTCTCCATTCTGGGCATGGGAACAGGTTTCCGAGGATGAAATCATTTCTCAGAAAAATTAAAAGAAAATCCCTTCATTCCAGGCATGAGAACAAATTTTCCAGGAATTTTGAGGTATTGCATAATGTTCCGATGAGTCCCCACGTACTGGGCGTGTGGGTGGGCTAGCTGCTTGGTTAACTTAGGCCGTAGGCTCGTGCGCTTAATTTGTATTCTGTTGCCATTGTACAAGGTTGATCCCTCGCTTGCTGCTGTTTTTGCATACAATTTGAGTTGTACAGTACTGTATATTACTGTACTAGGACACAATCAGCCAAGAATAGTTTAAAAGCAGTGTTAAAACAAAAGTGATTACAGTTACATATACCATACTGTACATTCAGCAGAGTGGACAGTGTATGCCTACTGTAGGCTTGTGTGTAGAGGTGTATGTATGTATAGTATGCAATGTACAATCCCCTTTTCATTGAGGGTGAGGGAGAGGAGAGTGACAGTTAGCAACACCTGCTACAGTAGATGGTACAGGACAAAGGCAAGCCATCCTGTATCATCATATCACCATTTGGCCTGCCTGCATTGTGTTTATCCGTGCGAGATGCATAGTTTAGACTCTCAGAAAACTTTCCCCAGTACGGTACAGTACCTGGAAAAATTCCGGGGATGAGAAATTCATCTCAATACCCGTACAGTTCCCAGAAGAGCTCTGCACCAATTATTCCGGCCAACGGGGATATCACTTGTACAGTAGTATTCATAAAAATAATCAAAATAAAATGTTATCTAGTTCAATTTTTATGGAGCTATGACAGTGAATTCAATTATAAAATTAGGCAATAGACAAGCATGTGCTGTGTATGGCTGCTAGTCTATGCATATGATGCTGCACATTCACATGACTGCTAGGAATCATGAATTCATTATTACTGAGAAATATATAACAACACTTTTCTTAGTTAGAATAAGCAACAAACCTTTCCTATGGATATTTTACTCCAAATGCCAGAGTTCTGCCACTCATCCCTACAAAACCTCATTATTGAATACGAGGGGAAGAACACCAGGAGTCCACCAGGAATAACTCGTGAGAAGTTAAGGATGGTCTGACCCAAGGAAGCTATGTATCGTGGGTCACTCCTGAAAAAATAGAAAATAGCAATTAGGAGAGAATCCCTTTTCATAATCCTCAGAAAGGTTTGCAAACCCTCTCTTTAATATCTACACACCCTGAAACTAATATTTTCTATCCTCCAAAAGATCAGTCTTTCTCAGGACAGTAACTCTCCAGTAACACTTGAATATTTCCCTTTAAATAGTTTCCATAATTGTACCATATTTTTCTCTTTAAATATTTTCATATGTACTGTATATAATTGGAGAGGCACCCTTATCATTTAACTATTTCCAAGTGCTTACACTCATCTGTCCCATAAATCAGTGAATTACAAGATTATAGGCTGAATGGGGGACGGTCTCATGACACTTGTTTTCTATGATAAAAAAAATTAAGTGGAAATTGTGAGTATGGAGGCAATTTGCCCATGGCTCAGTGACGCTTCTGCTTTTAATATTAACAAATAATATCAATCAGTTAAGGAGCTAGGTAAGGATGGAGATGTAGCTGGTTAGGGTGTACCCTATCATTACATCCACAGCAAAATAAAGGTAACTGTCATAAGGATTAATGAGTGGTGTAAATCACAAACCATCTGTGGATTCTCATGATCATAACAGGTTAATTTACAACACATCATCAAGTACTGAAGTATAAGGAAGAGATACAATACATACCTGTTTCTAAAGGAAGAATTTAGACTAAATCCATCTGGTCCCTTACTTACAATACCGACCCACACTTGGTGGCGCTTGATAATGTGTGGGTTCTCCAACTGAATGGGAAAAGGCACCTGTGGAAATGGATAGAAATCTATATTGAAAGATCATTGATAACAGGGATTCAAAAGGCAGGAAATTTATCAGTATACAATGCAGAAGATAAATGCTTTTCAGTGTATATTAGAGGAAGGAAGACTGAAAAGTATCATGAGGGGATATAAACATTCTGAGAGAAACTCCACATGAAGTGTTTGATCATTTACTGGTAGAAAGAAGCATGAACAACTGCAAATGAAAGGTTCAGGGTAAAATAAATTCAGAGAAATGAGATACAGTATCAATTATCAAAGTAAATGACCTGAGGCAACAGAATGTTTCAGAAAAATTGAGAGAAATTACTGTAAATGGAAACCCTTTAAAAATCAAGGGAAATTATTTCTTCAATCATCAGCTTCTTGAAGGTTATATAACATGAAGCCAAAATTTGTTTCTCAACAAGTGGATGAATAGGGTATTTGTTTAGGTGGATACAAACAAGGAAAAATTATCATAATCAATAAATGATAAAACATTAAAAAAGATCCCTTGTTATTCGCAGTGGTCAGTAAACAGTCATTTACACCTTTTGCACCTTCTGGAAGCTTCTCCAGCATTGCATAGTACAAAAATTAGAGCAGCTCAACACAACTCTCCTCTCCCATGAATCCTCAACAACCGTTTGTCTCCCTCACCCTCTGTTTTACTACTGTATCCAGCATACATTGCATCACAACTTTTGTCCTTTATCCTGCAGCCATGGCCTCTAACATAAAAACAAATGGTGAACATAGTGAGGCTGGTGGTGCTAAAGTGATGATAATGGAAAATAAAGTGATGATTAGTGCAGAAAGACGAATTACAAGATAAAATTACGAGTGGAATGAGTGCTGTGGCAGTGGGGAGGATGTTTGACGTAGACCAAGTAAGTGTGGCTTCAAGAGCCTGAAAAGTGCAAAAGTTCTTTATGTGATATGAGACTGTGCCATAATATAAAGGAGAAAGGTTTTACATTTGTGGATGAAGAACACATACCAGAAAAACATGCCAGTAGACCAAAATGTTATCCACAAAAAGGATGTGAGCCTTTACAACCATTTTTGTCAAGAAACAGGTGCTGAGAGGCCTTGTGAAAGCAGTTGCCCTACTTTTATTAGCAAAGGCTGTTTTGAAAATATTAAAGGGAGAATTGAATTGTACAATGTGAAGTTGACTGACAAGAAAGCATCAGCAGACCATGATGCAGAAAAGACTTATCTCCTGAGTTTCTCAAATAATTGTGAAGGGATATAAACTCAAGCAAATTCTTAACTCCACCAACACTGTCTTAGGGTGGAAGAAGATGCCCATGCAGACATTCCTCTCCAAGGGAGCAAATAATTGAGTATCCCTTCTCTAATGTGGCAATGCTGAAGGATTTATGTTAAGCACATGATGCTGTACCAGGCAATGAAGGGCAAAAATAAACTTGTCTTGCCCAATGAAACTGAACACCTGGGTGACAGGTTTACTGTTTCAATATTATCCCTCTATGGAAAGAAGCCTCATGATCAAACAGGAAATAGTAATGGAAATCCTTCTGCATATGGAGACTTTAGGGAAGTACAATGGAAGGCAAAACAGGTGCCTATTACTAAGTTTTCATTATAATCCATCGTAGCATCACTTCTTTATCCGACTCCTTCACCAGCCTCAATTTGGCCAGCCTTTCATCTCCCTACCTCCTCTGCCACTTGACACACTTTCCTTGTCCATGGATGATTTTGACTTATAATCTATTTAGATTTTTTTTGTGTGTTTTTAGGGTAAACTCACATACAGTACTTAATTTGTTTAGGTACAGTATTTAAGAAGCATAATTACATTTAAAGGTTAGGTAACATTAGCCACATTTGTGTTTTTTGTTATTCACGGCCATCTGCACTGAATCCTCCGCCAATAACAAGGGATGACTTAAATGACAAGCCGATTAAATATCTATTATTGGGACATTGTATTATGAAAATTATAAATTAAATCCTTTGCTATAAAACCAAACTACTGAACCAACCTGCAGCTCTGAAGTAAAAGAATCTATTGGACTTAAAGTTCCACTTGTTAGTATAATGCTCTTTACTCCCATCTCAGATAAGTCCTTCATCCTGAAAGATATTACAACTAAGCACTGAACATCCTTCAATAATATGTATAGTACCTACTCCAACTAATAGATAAAACATTTTATAGTTTGACCAAATCAGTAATGTGCACATAAAGTAAACATACTCTACAAATTTTTATCAACCAGTGGTCCCATAAATACTGTATGTGATTCACATTTTTTAATAGTATCCCAACTTTTACACAATTCAAGCCTAAATGGCTTGACTTCCAGCTATTTCACAACTTGTCAATGCCATCCAAACAATCCAGGGGCTGCCTGGTGGGCCATCCCATTCCCACCCACCCATCAAACCAGTTTATCTAATTCTCTGTGATTTAAGAATTTATATTTATACAACTATAATATATGAATAGTTATATGTACCCATTGTTTGATAATCAAAATTAGGATTTTGAGCTATGGTCCAAGCCCTCATGGTTTTCATTGTAAGCAATTTGTACCAAGGATCATCCCTTCTCCACCCAGTCACAGTTTGCATAATTTTAGTGATATAAGACTACAGCACCAATTTACCCAGCTTTAATCTATCTCGGATATTTATAATTTGTTGTTTGATAATACAGCATAAATTATAAGTCAAATCTTTATGTTTTAGTATATAACACACATACAGTACAGAGAAGCCCCACTGTAACATTAACAGATTATGGATCCCATACTACCCTGCTGTCAACAAACATTGTTTATTTACAAATCAAATTTCAAAGTCGTCCTTGTACTGTATTCAGAAATACCATACATATATTACACATCAAAAATATAATGCACTAATTCCAATATAACTAATTTCTCAAAACATTTAATATAAAAATTGAAGGAATAATCCAGAAATCCCTTTTTCTACTGGAACCAGAGGCCAGGCAGCTCTCTTAATACTAGTCGTTATACAGGTCTTGACTCCTCAAACTGGAACTTCCAACAAAAGTAAGATTAAAAATACTGTAAAGAATTTAACCAACGCAAAGCCAGGGTTGAAGCACCAGTACGAAATGACACGCCCAACTTTGGAATTTATGGGATTACTCTTGGGGGCTCCCCACCCCTCTTCTCGGCCTCCAGGCTTCTTTCTTTGCTCTTCAATGTTGATATGAACCTGAGAGATCAAAAATTAAAAAAAAATTACAATTGTTTTCACACACACACACACACACACATAACAACTAAACCCTACTAAATTTAACAAAAATTATTCTAAGATCAGTCAGAAAAATTAGGTTTCCTTCATTGGCTTGTTCAGTCTATTGTAATAAAGGGGTTTACATTTGCTTTACAGACCCATGGCACTTTTAGTAATAATTTGTATCTCATTTCATACACTATAAATCTCTCTACATGATTCTGCTTAATAGTTGCACACCACTAAACTAAACTGCAATTTAACCCCAGGAACTTCAACACTAAAAATGCTTCATGAATCCAAGGGCCTTTTCATAAACCAGGATATACCTGTATAGAATATAAATGAAAATAAACTTAACAGCATATTAAAAACACTCATGAAAATATAGCAACTTGCCTTGTAACACTGTTTAACAAATTCCATGTGTTCAAGTGAAAATTTATCTTTGCTAAAAACTATTTGTAATAGTTCTGAAAACTTCTGAAGACCAGCTCCCTTACGCTGAAATGGAGAGGCACTGTTCGTTGTCAGGTACTGTATCTGTGAGTGAAAAAACACAAGCTCAGTAAAACATTTGATATGTGATTTCAATCACTAAAGCATCCATTTAAATAACACAAACTCCTTTTCAGGTTTTCTCAAATATACCTGTACGTGACATCCGAGTTAACATCAACAGAATGTGACTTCATTGTTAAGCAAACACAAAGTGCCTTATACTTTGGCTGCATAGCAGTAATGCTCTCAATCACACAATAGAAAATTTTTGAGAATTCACTTGTATTCTATAACTACAATTATGAATCTCGGGGATCTATTAAAGGTCAAACCTAACTACTGTACATGCAAAAATCTTACCAGTTTGTCTAAGATCTCCAATATTATAATTTTCTTATAAGGAGTAATATCTGCCTTCTCCAAAAGTTCAAACATGTAGCTGCCAGGAAAGGTAGACCCAGAGCCATCTGCTGGCAGCTGTATGGCATCAATAGCCTAGTAGGAGACATCATTACATTATTCATAATGATCATTTTTATTGGCTGAAAGGTTATCATCATAATCATCATTGTTTAATGGCCATTTTCCACACTTGCATGGGTTAGCCATGATTACCTGATGGCTGCATTTAAAGCTGTTTTCTGCAAACATTTAATTTGATCCCTTATGTAAATTTCTTCCGGTTCTGTTGAACAATTCTAAATGTTGATTCAAGTTAAATCAATATAAAATTCGCTCTCTAGTTATACTGCACTACTGTAGTTTACAGGACAGTTTCTGGGGAAAGTTTCTTTACTAATTCATATCAATACTGTACTGCGTGTCAATTTTAGCATTCATAAAGCACTTGGCCGTATCGCTATAAAAGCACAAGAGCACAACGATACACAACTTACTTTTTCTAATTCTAAAAAGAGTGCTTTTAGTGTATAAAGGTCATCAGGATTAAAATCTTCTGGAAGTCCCTGACTATCATTAGCTGCAATATCCGAACCTTCACTGATATCTTGAAATTTCTTCATTACCTGAGAAATAAGAAAATATTCTCAATGAGTTCCATTAATATCTAATGCAATGGTTCTACACTCTGGTTATGGGTAAGTACTGTAGTGCATAAAGAACTTTATTCAAACATCTCAATTACTTCTCTCCTTCCAAATGAAGTACAAAAACTCATAAATACAAAGGAGAAACTAACAATCATTACATAACAGTACTGCAAACACACTTACCTGAGTGACCTCATCGATGCAGAGAGCTATGTCTGTTGAACGTATTTGGAGAGAAGCAGCTTCTTCACACATCTTCTCCACATTATGAGCTTCATCGAATATTATAATATTTCCCTAGAAATAATCATCATATTACTAATTTATCAATTTCAGACCTTTTCTTTTTACAATACTGAGATGGTATTATTTTTTTTACACAATACACGACAAAGAACAGGCCCACTTTATCCCTGCAAGTTGTAAAGGAAAATTAATAAGGGCATATAGAGGATCTGGATTATCAATAAAAAAGTTATTCTTCATAAAGTCGATCATTCTTTGAATTGGGTCGACTCCTCTGATTTGTCCTCTGAGGAGACGGTTAAATTATGTAATGTTGTCTTTCAAGTCCATTTCAGACCTTTATTGTCCAGAGGTCACGAAGAGAATTACAGTACAAGATAAATCTCCTTAGTATGACTCGTCTATAAGTTCTCTTCGTAGGAATCATAGAAGTGCTGAATGAGTGGTGCAGGCTGCGAACGGACAATACTTGATCAGAGTATATGACTACGCGTAGGGCTGTTGTTTGTTCAGTGAGGGCATGCAAAGCTAAATACTACAGAAATCAAGTACCCTCTTGTGGCAGTGATCAGAAAAAATTGTGTGCAGCTGTGAATGGGCTATTGGGCTGGAGGTCTGGAACTACTATGCCTTCTTCCGCTTCAGAAGCTCAGGTTGCATCAAATTTTTCCTTGTTTTTTTTATGACAAAGATATCACGTATAAAAAGTGACCTTGATCGTGTTTCTTTGAATGAGGAATTTTCAGTTGAATTTCAACCGAGTTACACCATAAGCCTCACTTTTTCGTCATTTTGTCCTGTAGGGGTGAACAACATTCTAAGCTTTATCAAAGATTCAAGATGGCTTTTTGTTGTTTTGATCCTATTAATGCTTCTAAGGTACCATGCTGCAGATTTTATTTGTATCATCATAAATAAATGCTTTGCAGAAGGTAATTTTGTGTGATCTGAGAAACAGACTTTATGGTGTCTTGATACTGAAAATATGTAAAATTATTGTCATATCTCCAATCTCTCATTCTTATCAAACATCATAGAGCTGGAACAGTTACTTCCTCTATTAGAGAGAAATTGAGTGATCCCTCTGGTCAAGCCAGCCTATAGAAAGCATCATTCAATTGATGCACAGGATAGTCCTCCTTCCTGGTCTTGCTGGATCTCTCGGCAGCCTTTGTCACTATCTGTTGATCACTATCTGTTACTTCAGGTTCTTTGGTCGTTCAGTGTCCATGATGATGCACTTTCACTGCTTGAGTCTCATTTGTCAGACCAATCTCAATAAATGATGGTTGGTGGAACCCTTTGCAGTTTGGAGTCCCACCGGGATCAGTTTTGGGACCACTTCTGTTTACAGTCTATACCAGTAGTCTGCTGGATGCTCATGGTGTTGCCTACCATTTCTTTGATGATGATACACAGCTTTATGTGCAAATGATAAATGTCAAGCATATTGAGGAGATAATGAAATTCTTGATGTCTAATATTAAAGTGTGGATGGCTAGGAGAAAACTTTAGCTGAATGATAGCAAAACCAAGATTGTCATCATCTGAGGAAATATGAGGGTAGATGGCACAGATGATTTTGGCTCTTTAAACTTTGGGGAAATACAACTCAGTCCAGTTGATTCTGTTCATAACCTAGGAGTGTACTTGAATCAAAACTGAATTTTAGAGCATATAAATTCAGTGGTTAAGAGTTGCAACTTTCATATTCGAAATCTATATGAGGTGAAACAGTTTTTAGATAGACCGTGTCTTGTGACACCATTACATTCACTTATTTTGTCTAGGGTTTACTATCATAACTCTTTATGGTTCTGTCTACCTAACTATCTACTGAAGAGAGTTCAGTGTTGAACATGGTTGCCAGGCTTAGTTTTGCTCTCCCACCGAAGACTCCCGCTCTCCCATTCTTGATTGAATTGCAGTAGGATAGTGTTCAAACTCTACCTTATGACTTTTAAGGCATTTATATTTGATCATTTGAAGTATTTGTCCAACCTACTAAATCCTGAAAGGATTTTGCATAGTAGTGATGATACCTCATTTGTCATGAATCCTTGAGGAGCCTAGAGCAGTAATGGAATGTTCTTTGGTTATCCGATCCTTTTCCTATACAGCACCCAGATTGTACAATCAGTTGCCTGCATCCATAAAGCAGCTGACTTAAGACCATTCTTTTTTTTAAAGTTTATAATCCTGAAGAGTGTACAGTGATGGAGAATTACTGGGTTTAAGATGTGTTACAACTTAAGGATAAACAAACTTTCACGTTTTGTGATCTTTTTGTGGTGTTTTTTGTATTCTCAAATCCTTGACTTTGTAGTGTTTCGAGCGCTAGTGAATTCTTTAGAAAAACTGGCACTTTTAGAAACAAAAGACCAGCTATAATTATTATTATTACTGTATAAAGGTGACAATGAAAAATTGGTCAGAAAGAAATCTGTTGTCACATAATTGTCCTTTATTACCTTATTTGCTATCTAGGTCTTGATACAGTAAACAGTACCTATCTTTTGTAAAAAGTTATGGATTGTGCTATACTAGACTAGTTGCTTCCCCTGCTGGAGCAAAATAGGGCAATTCTCAAGGTTCAGTCTGTCTTATGAAAATTCCATTCCACAGAAGCAAGCTTTGGCAATATTTATGATCTGGGTGGTTATTACCAGTTCCATGATGTCCTCCCTCTTTTGTCTGTTTGATCTCACTGCTGCTTTTGATGCTGTTAATCAAATGTTGCTTAAAGGTCTTTTACCTCAGTAATAACTTTCCTTCTGTAGTTTGGAATACTAGGATCAATCTTGAAGTCAGTATTGTTTATCACTTACAGTCTTGAATCTTTACTAGAGCCATGAATTACTGATTACATATAACTTTTGAGACAAAAATAAACAATGAGGATACATAGGACAAGTTTTTGACTTCTATTTTTCTTCTATAAATAAGATCAGGATGGGAAGGAGTAAACTATGTCAATGGGTACCTGTACTGTCACAGGAATAAATACGAACTATACCCTCTGAAAACAGTTGGTAAATAAAAATAAAAGAACGGAGAAATCTAACTTTATCGCTCAACTATGGATCTGATTGAAAATTGGAAATCCACATAATTAACTTTTTAGACATAATTAAGATTATGAAGAGATGACTTAACAGTTTTTTAGTATAAATATGAAGCCTAACTTTATACTTATAAAAACTATAATTATATTAGTGTTTTAAATTTATTCAAAGAAATGCCATATGATTCCCTCAATTAAAACTTGTCTCTACAAAATACAACAAATCCTAGTACTATACATTCACTTTGAATTCTGACCTGAAGTTCAATAGCATGTGCCTTACGACTCTTGGGGTCAAGCAAGTAATTGTATGGCATGAAGATGATGTCTGCATCCTGTTTCAAATCCCTTGCCATGTAGTATGGACAGAAAGATTTCTTTTTTCCAAACTTGACCAAGTCTTCTAAATCGAGTATTCCTTGACGTAACTCAGGCTCATCTTTTTTCGCATCTACCTGGAAGATATGTTACATATGTTGATAATGCTTCAGATGCTTAAAATAGCTCACTTAGTATTAAAACTAAAATATATACAATACTATATAGAAACCTCATTTTTACATCAGGGGGAAGACACCTCATCCATTGAATTTTTCCCTAAATACAGTCCATAAATTAAATATTTTATTGTAGTATGATAACAGACAAAGTATATTGTGCATGATTCAGATAACTTTTTTGTTAATTAGACTTACTGTATAATTGATTACATTTGAGGAAATGTGCTACCATCTTTGAAAATTTGGGGTTCTTCTTTATAACTATTACCAGTATCATAATAATAAAGATAAAGTTGGTTCATTCATTAAGCCATACTGAATACTCAGTGTACCCACCTTAGCACCAAACCACCTCAGACACTGTAGCTCTCTGTTGTATATTTTGCCATCAAGAGTTAGTAAATAAAGCAGCAGTGAAAAAAGGGTTAAATTATGAATCGGATACATACCTGGTTGTGGAAGTAGCACGTCTTTGCCTTAACTCGCATCTGGCACATGTGTACCTTGGTGCTATTATTCACTTCTTTGGAGACTTCTGGATGAACACACATCTGGCCACGTGATCCCAGTATTGCCACCTGCCAAAAGAGACATATGAAGATAAAAAATACTGCAAGGTTACTCCATAGCTAGCCAAGTGAATGGTGAATTTAGTATCCAACAGTGAATAAAGACAGAACTAAGAAATCTAATTTTGGGGTTACAAAAATGTGAGGTAACTTGTGATACAGTATTATATTTACATATTATACTTTTCAGACCTCTAAATATTTCTTAATTAGTGAGGAATTCTCTTATTTTGTCTTTGGCATTAGTTTTTTTTTTTTTCATTTTGTAAAAGAACTATAGCTAAACATCTTAAAAGAAGTATTTACAATAGTATACATTTCACTGCAATTTAAACCCCGCCCCCCCCTCAAAAAATCCTTTACAAACCCCATTAAAATCTATCTCATTAGGTTTTGTATTGTATAGGATATTTCAAATTATGTCCCTAATGATATTTTGAAATACATCCAACCCTTCCATTCTTTTATATTCACCATGTATGCCTTTCACATTCCATTCTCCTACACGAACCAACCACCGAATTCTCAAAGGGTGGCCACAGGGATCCCATCCACATCCAATGCTCCGCTGTTAGTTACAACACTCCAACCCCAACACCTCTTCCCCCTTTTGGTTATCTCTCATAATTCAAAAGGGTATGCAGGGGATCAATTCTCTATTACTCAGGTCCCCAGGCACGTCGGAGGGTTTTGGAGCCAACAAATGAGGTATGGAGAAGAGGTAAGACAGTGTAGTAAGAAGAGCTAGAGATAAACAAATGTACTGGTAGTAGTACAGTAGTGTAAAAAAAAAAATGAGAGCAAACTATTGTATCTTTAAGATTCACCACAGCAAGTAACCATCACCAAGTACACTTCCCTACATATTGATAAGTTGGTATGCAGGTATTCAGTATCACATATAATGAACCATCACCCATAAACTAATATTACATACCCGTAAATGGCTGTAAGAAGTTCTTTTCAGTTCACTGATGGCTTGAGACAGCTGCGAGTGGGTCCGAGATGAATAAATTATTTTTGGTGGGGCTGAAAATGGATAACAATGTACGATCATCTACAACGCATAATTAATTAATTTACATTACATCAACAAGTAGGGAAATATTTAAGTTAGAGAGTAAGAGAATATGATCCTGAAAAAATGTAAAACTAATGATACCTTTTCTAAAACTTTAATTATCTTCCATCAGCAGACAGGTAATAATGTGCAAGTATTCTATACACGCAGTCCCCGTCATACGATCATCACCATATCAAATTCTTAATAAAAATGAAATTCGACTTTTGACCATTTGTGGTATACGTACTTATGAACCAAGCGTGGAGCGCACTACTTTGTTTGACGCATTAGCCAGCACTTGGAGGTTCTGTACTGAGTTGCATCGACAACAACAAACAGTTCATTGGTCATCCCCATATTGTGTTTATCTATGCTTGACACCTTTCTGTTTTTCAATTACACTCTTTACTCATTAGTATTATTACAGCCCTCCAGATGCCCAGGAAATATAAGGGAGGCAGTAAATCATATGTTGCTTAAACAGTCATTGTTGAGGATTTGACAAAAATTTACAAGCTCTTAATTTCCCATAACAAGCTGACTCTGATCCTATCAAAACCTTTATGGCACTGAACCTCAAATAGTCTAGGGGGATCACTGTATAAATGACCTTTTGATCTTGGTTGCTGACTCATTATACAGTACTGTATTTCTATGTTAATCACACCTAGAAATTTGCATGCGGTAACTGTCGTGTGTGTGGTCAATACAGTACTGTATACATTTATCCAGCCTGAAGACATGTTGCACACAAGATTAAAAGAGCTGGACATTACATAGCAGTAGGCAAACAATACACCTTCATGTCACAATGGCAGTATAAAAATAATAAGTACAGTCGCCTGCACTTACACCTGTAACAGTGGCTGATGTGTTTTGTGAGACGTGGCATTTGTTTGTTTACATCGTGTTAAAACTACCGGAATGGCCCTAAGGAGCCTCACAATAGTAGCCAGACTAAAGATGCTAGATAAAATTTCCACAGAGTTGCCACATCTTACAAAATGCACCAAACACTGTACCAGGTATAAGTGCAGGCAACTGTAGATTAATTAGTAACAACACTCGCACATCACTGACACAATTACTCACCAATTTTATCTCCCCAAGCCTGCCCAGCTGCAGCTTGTAACTGTGAGCTCAGTGAAGACAAAAATTCTGGAACATTTTGACTATTAGAAACTTGTAAACGAGATTTGTGCTCAGCCTTCTTGATCTCCAACCAAGCCAATGTGGAACAAAGTAAACATAGGGTCTTGCCTGTGCCAGTTGGTGACTCAAGGATGCCATTCTCACCCTGAAGTATATACAGGACAATATTCTGTTTAATGGTCAAAGTATATGATTAAAATTGTATTATTGTACTTTAATTTGTTTTAAATACTGTAAAGGAAATAATTTGCTGATTATGGTATACTGTAGACAGAAAAAAAGATAGCCATGAAAATGTATAGATTTCATCAGACATCAATGATGCCTATTAAAACAAATGTAGGATTGAGGTATAATATAACATTTTATGGCCAAGGAGATGAACAAATATCCTGAGAGAAGAAACTACCCTCAAGCACCCATGAACATAGCCTGTCATTGCTCAGGTGGTGGCACAACATTTGATACAAGCTAGATGCATGGCAGCCTTCTCACAAATTTATAAGTCAGATACAGATGGCAGTTTCTTCTTGTAGGTCTCTTAAAGACCATAAATGAAGAATTTATTCTAAAAAATACATTTATAACAGAATCATAACAAGAACTGATATAGTGTACCCATCAATCTATGGGTTGCAAGTTTGCAGTCTAAGGTATTGTTGAAGGTGTGAAGCCCCCCAAGTGCTATTTAATGTATGGGGTTGAAGAACAACTGTGATAATGAAGTAGAACTGTTCAGGGTAAGACAGACTTCAAGAGGGGGATGATTAACCTAAGACATGCTCATTGGAAGTTCAGGAATGCCAACAACAAAAGGGAAACGCTACATTGCTCAAGCTGCTATAATGCCAAGAATCATTTAGTTTCAACCTTGAGTGGCAACTATCACTTCCCATGCTTCTCTCTTAGGGATAGGGTTGCAACTGAAGAGCTGCACTGCCTGTCTGACTAGTACCAATCATCAATGTCACTGGGTTGCATCCCACAGAATTAACGGGTACAATACTGTACACACGTCTCCTTGAACCAAAATAAGGCTACAAAAAGCATGAAAATATGGACAAAAGAACAATACAATACAAGGCATTATATCTCAGTATGTAGACACTTACTCGTTGCACACATTCAATAACTTTAGACATATAGGTTTTCTGAACATCATAAGGCTCGAAAGGAAACCTCACTGGAACTCCTTGGAGCACAACCTCAGGCATGTTGTCTATGGTGGAACTTCACATCTATGTTGTAGGAGTTTTGCAGTGCATATTTCTCCTCTAGCCTGTTGGAAAAAGAATCACTGTAAATGAAAAACCTGAAGAACTCAAAAGACTAGTTAATGCATATAAATTTACCCAATTTAAACTAAACTAACCTTAAGAAGCCAACTGTCAATTAAACATCCAAGAAAAATTATGTGTAAAGTCTGAAACACCCCCCCCCCCCCACATTCACATTTAACACTTCCACAAATTAGCATATAGCTGTATATAAAATTAACAATGGGAAAGTTTATATGTGTGTATATGTATTCTAAGATAACATGAGAAAAGAAGATAACTTTGATTATATGAAGACTCTGTCAAAGGGGTTTGTTCAGTTGATCACCATGATCCAACACTCAGGTGATGTGATCAGTGACAGGTCATGTTAAGGTAGGGATTACCTTTACTTAGTGAGAGATTACATTAGATTAGTCCCTAACCTAACCAATTCTGTATTGTAACTACTGTACATAATATTCAGTGCTTATGTTTTATATTATTTTTTAGTAAGTTACTGTGCTTATATTGTATTTTTGTCCTGAATTATAATACACTCATTAGGATTTTAAGTTACCACAGTCCGAGAGGTTTAGGTAGGCTAGATTAGGTTTAAATTAGGTTTTCCGATGGTTTTTAATGTATTTTGAGCGATTCACACCTACTTACAAATAGGTGGATGACCGAAACAATGACCAGGAACTATATCTAACCTAACCAACACCCCCGTTCTGGTGGGGGTTAAATGTGAAATTCAGCGTGGACAAATGTAAAGTACTCAGTTTAGGAGATGTAAACAGGAAAACCAGATACCAGATGAACAACGATGCCATAGAGAAATCCGACTGCGAGAGAGATTTAGGAGTAATGATAAGTAGGAACCTTAAGCCAAGTAAACAATGTGTTTTTGCTCGTAACAAGGCTAATAAAGTACTTGGGTTCATACAAAGGAGTGTTAGTTACAAGACTAGCGAGGTCATCCTAAAACTGTATCTTGCTCTTGTGAGACCTCACCTGGATTACGCAGTTCAGTTCTGGTCACCGTATTACAGAATGGATATAGAATCCTTGGAAAGAATTCAGAGGAGAATGACAAGACTAATCCCGGCATTAGGAACCTTGAGTATAGAGACAGGTTAAAGCATCTTAATTTGCACTCGAGAGACGTAGAGCGAGGGGCGACCTGATAGAGGTGTATAAGTGGAAGGCAGGGCTAAACAAAGGGGACATTACAAAGGTACTCAAACTATCCAACCAGGAGCGAACTCGTAACAATGGTTTTAAATTAGAAAAATTTAGATTTAGGCGTGAAATAGGTAAACATTGGTTTGGAAACAGAGTAGTGGATGAATGGAACAAGTTACCAAATATCATCATTAACTCGAATACCCTGAATAGCTTCAAACATAGGTTGGATGCTTATATGAGCAATAGGGGTTGGGTGTAAACGGGACTGCCCAGTATGGGCCAATAGGTCCGCTGCAGTTTCCTCCATTCTTATGTTCTTATGACTGAAACTAAAATAATACCCCAAAAATACATTTACTGTATACACAAAGCATCAAACCGTGGGATCATTTAGCATATTAACTCCTATCTTACTGTCTTATATTTTGTAATTTCCTTCTGATATACGTACCTAAAATTCAAATGGCTGATATAATTTCTAAATAATCCCGTTGACAAGTACAGAAGACTCAAATAAGGGATGAAGAGGACGGCCACCTGTGTTAATGTCAACAAACTTACCGCCAACAGGTGATGGTCGGAGTCTTGTATAGGAAGCTGTCTTAACAACATATGATTATTATTATATTATTATTATTATTATTATTATTATTATTATTATTATTGTTGTATATATTCAGTAAAGTTGTCAAGTCACCTCATGATATTACTCTACTTAATAGCTACCACTAAATCGAGCTCGTTAGATTATAGCATGTATAGATATTTTCTATATTTCTTTTTTTTCGAATATTCAAGCTAGTGTTTGGATAAGAGAATTACCATATAGATAATGATACTGCCGGCTAAAATTGAAGATATAAGTTGTAATCATCATGACTAACCAAACATAAGCTAACTATACCAATTATCTAACCCAAATTAATTTTGTATTAGACGTCTTCAGATATATTAAATAGCAAACTTCACAGTATAGAAAGTAAACACGAAATATTTTTTTATTAATATATGGGAATAAAAAATAATTATATTTAATAAAACCCAACTTGGTTAACGACGCTTGTCACCATTCACTTGTTTGCCGCTGTGCAAACTTGAATTATCTCCGCATTGAGTAAAAATGACTACCTAGGTGTAATTCATTTATTATATCGCAATACTTTGTTTTTTGTAAAATTAAGGCACAAATTTTTAAATAGACTTCTTATTTTATATATTAATTTAAAATTTGAGGTAAAAGTATTCCTTTTCACGTTAACTACCAATATATGCGTCTATACAACCCGGATATTTGTAACCTTACCTTAACAGCTGATGGTCACCCAAGGACCTTGTTTACGCCCAGCCAGTGTGAGACAGGTGAATATTTGAGAAGGTATTACTTCTTTTTACTGCAGTGTGATAAGTTATGTAGGAGTGAAATAGTAAGTTGTGATAATAATTAGGTACTTGACCGCCAGAGAACCGAAGAAAAAACAATGTGGTTATTTTGTTTGGGCACACGCTGGTCTAAGGTGAAGTGAAGAATATAATTATGTTGACGTTATAACTACCTTTAAATAAGTTATTCTTTTGGAAGAATTCATCATAATAACTATACTCCTTACTGCTATTACATGTAGACATTTATGGTGATATAGTAAGGTGACAGGTATTGCGTTTACACACCGTTCATTCCTACCACTAATCTATTATTATATTCGAATAAGACGTCTAATTATAAGATAATTTTCATCTATTACATTACCGGCGGAAATGTATGATAACGGAGATAGCTTCTCCAAAAATTGTTTTATTTTCTTCCATTAACTGGCCACCATTATTGTCTGCCCTCACCCAACACTGCGCGTTTAGCGTCTCCTTCATAAATTATGACTCGCATGCGTACCCGTACACGTCACGCGGCCAATCAAAAGTGTTTTTGCTTTAGGAACCAATTAATATGATATTGGGTTTAATTCAGAATATATTTGGCCCAATCAAAATTGAGTTTTATTTTGGGTCTCATATTTTGAAATTCAAGTTTAGTTCCGACCATGGAAGTCTGCGATGGATGTCACTTAAAGTATATGGAGCTGATTGCGAGTTTTTGGAAAAAAACGTAGAAACTATAGCATTTTTTCGATCTCATGGTGTTCTTCCAACCTCGGTAAAGTGTACTAAGAGCAAGACTGAATGTAAATATCGCAAAGACCAACATATGTGGCGTTGTGTAAGAATCCCAGACTGCAACGACGAACAAGAACCAGGCCAATAAGGTAAGAAATAGGTGATTCCATCATATGGTGAGAGTCAGTTAAGTTAGGTTAGGTTTTTGTTTTTCTAGTGTTGTTTTTTGTGTGTATTTTTTAGTCGCTTAGCCACTTTTTTTCGGAAAACGTCAAACGAAAAAAATCGCTAAAAAAAACCCGGCTAATTTCCGCTAAAAATGAAGGTCATATTCAGTCTAAACACACACAAATACGATAGAAAAATATATTTTTTACTTGCTAAAAGTGAACGGTGTGACAATGCAAATTTACTGGTGATATATGAGGACAGCTAATACTTTTACTTTAATCCTCTTCACCACTGGTCAACTCGTTAGCCGTTTGGGCGGTCGGTGCCATCTCTCTTATGCACTGTTGGCACGTACTGGGCATGCGGGGAATCTTAGGAGGGTGTTAGGTTAGGGGTCAATTTATGATAGTAGCCAAGTAGCTATGGTTCTTATTGTGATTAAAACGAATCTGACCTTCGTTTCTGGTGCTAACCGCCCTACTCTAACCTAATCAAAACATGGCTAGCTATCCTAAATCGCCAGATGCGGCTCAATTTATGATAGTAGCCAGGTTTTGATTTCTCCATAAAATTAGGAAGTGGATATTTTGCCGTGACTGGCAAAGAACCCACTAACGCTATTTTACCGTAATTGTGCCCTGCTCTGATGGGTTAGTTGTCCATTGCCTGCAAACAACGTGAAAATAATATGTGACCGTGACTCTGGCAGCATTTGGCATTTATTTCTTAGTTAATCAGTAATCTAAGTATGAAAAATTGTTCAGGTCTCATATTGTCTGAACTATGCAAAATAAATGCTACATGCCGCCAGAGTCATGGTCACAATGTGCGCTGGTAAAGGACGACTAATCCATCAGAGCAGAGTGCAATTACGATAAATAGCATTAGTAGGTTCTTTGCCGGTCACGACAAAATATCCACTGCCTAAAAAATACATTTTTCCTGTGGTTCTTGTTGTGATTCAAATGAATCTGACCTTCATTTCTGGTATTAACTGCCGTAACCTAACCGAAACCTGGCTACTATTCTAAATTGACCAGGTTAGGTTAGAATACCTGTGATGGGTCCTGAATGTATCTGAACCTGCTCAAGTGTTGGTCAAGTCTGGTCTTGAATGAGCTCACACTCGGTGCCGTGAAAAATCTCTATAGAAGACAAGCTATTTCTTGCTTTAAGACTAAAGCAATTTGGCTGGAGGAACAGCACTTTTTGTATTAAGGTTTTGTCCTTAGTTTTTGTCATTAAGAAAGACATACCAGTATACCATGTTGCATATATCTTGACAAACTCAATTTACACTGACCTACCAACCCTGAACATGAAGCAATAGAAGGTATTATTTGAGAACACTGGTCCAGGTTAACTACCTGTCTAACCAGAAATATATAAAGTAAAGATAATTATTGGAGGAGACAGGTAAAACCAGTACAATTTTCGATTTTGTTCGTATTTTCCACAGTTCTCCTTTGGATGATATTAATAAAAAGTATGTGACAACTTTTTATTTTAATTATCAGTAATTTTTTTTCATTTCCCAATTTTCTCTATCTATAATTATAAATCACCTGTAGTGGACTGGGCATGAAGGATGAATGAGGGAAATTGTGTGGAAAAACACAGTGAAAAGAAAAGCAGATCATATAGCAATAACAAGTGATCGCGGGCACCTTCGTGCCCAGTGAAAGTTTGAACGCTCGTGCTTGGCTAGCGTACAGCGAATGAGGGTGCGCCAAGTCCGTAGACTTGCATGGTTAATTAGGGTGCACTAAGTCCGTAGACTTGCATCGTTTTCCATTGTAAATAAAATGGTTAATTAATGCCTTCCTAAAAAACCATCGACATGGGACCAGGTTTGTTCCACTCTACAAATTTTTTGCGATTTTTCCACCAAGTTTGATGAAAAACAATTGTGCCGTTTCGGCTGCCCAGAACAGACAGACAGACACGCACGGCTAGTCCTATAGTATATTAGATTATCATGTCTCTATGTGCCTTGTATGCGAAGAAGTTAATTATTTATTGTAAATACTTTGACAATAAATCTCGTGGTGGCGCTTGTTTATCTACTCAGAGTTATGAATTCTGAATCCTGTCTTGCTTAACTTGTAAAGAAACAATGGCTTCAATGTCTATTTTTCATGTTAAGGGCTACACTGTCCTGATTCAGGAGTCTACTGTATGGCTGTGCAAAATCACTTTATTTTTTCATTTTAGCACATTAAGATCATAAACCGATTCTGTGTATCAATGATGAGAATCATATACCGTACAGGGTATTGTAAGTTTGAGTACATTTCCAATTTCTTTGGACTTTACCCGTAATTGGTTTTTAAGTGAAATGTATGTTCGTATACCTATTGTTCCTCCTCAAGGAGGAAGAGGAAAGCCATGTGTTTTTTTAATGGTGTCATTGCATCATGTTTGGTATTGAATCGTAAGTTATCTGTGATTGTGGTGGATGCAGACTGTATCCAAGGGTTCATCTGTCAACATGGACTAATTTGCAGGATGTGCAAGTGTTCAAAATATAACAGAGAACTGACAATGAAGAAGAATGGTAATTATTAACTACATACAGTACCTGTCACTGATTTTTCATAGAAAATTATTTAAAAAACAGCAATTTCACTGCCGTAGTTTTGGCAAATGTGTAAATTATACCTAACCTATCCTTAGTTGATAAGAAACACAAGCAGCTGAAGCGTTGTTTGAAGACCGCACCAACCTAACTAAAGAAACCTACTTAACCTTACCTGACCCCCCCCCTCCCCCCCAACACCAGCATATTAAACAGAAAGAACTTACTTTGATATGGTGTAATTTTAGGTTTCTTGGTGTGGATATGGGCTATTTAACTTTTTAAGAGGTGAAGAGCATTTGTCCATACTGTACTTAAAAGCTGATTACTTTGGGATGAGGCATGAATCTATCTTTGGATTTAAACTTGGTGTACCTGAAGTCTTACTGGCCTTTGAAACAGCCACAAGCCCAGCTCAAAGTATTGCTTCAGTCTTTGTCTGTTTGGCTTGGAGCTACTTTCTTTTTCCTTTTATTTTTTCACATTGATCCATAGTACAGTTTAGCCAACCACTGGAGCATGGTTTGACTTTATCTAGTGGAGATATCACACAGGTCATTCATCAATGAACCTGCAGGATAAAATATAGGGTTTCATGCTTCACTCCACCATTTATGCCTTGAGCTTTAATATTTATTCCACTTTAGTTACTTTTTCATATATTTTTACAGTAGCACTGTGTAACTATAGCTTCTTAGTAACAATGTTTAACACAGTAATGGGGAGAACATAATATCTCTACCTTTACCAACTGTGTATCTGTTGGGGTGACTATTACCGTGTATAACAACTACTTGTGAAGCTGTCATATATGTAACAACCTTCCTAGGTTGTCACCACTTGTAACAATCACTTGTGAAGCACGTTACCTCATATTCTAGACTAACTAAAATATAGATCAAAGTTTATTGGGTCTTCAGTAACGAAATCCAATAGGTTCCTTTTGTGTATTTATTATAAAAGGTTTCTATGTACACTTTCAAAAAGGATTATCACTGTAACTTAATCACTGTTGCTATGAGTGTTAAATGAGGACGGAGGCTATCTTAAAGTAGCTCTTCTAAAATACGTCCGATTGATGTGAGACTGGGAGTGATCTTGAGTAGGGACCCGTCGAGGGAGAATGGAATATATCCGACGTCCTCCCTCGAAGGAAGGACGGAGCACATCCACGATGGCTCTAATTAATGTCTTCCTCTCATCAGGGTTATCAAACTACTGCCTGCAATAGGTGGCCAGAGAGCCGGTTACTTAATCCTTAACTCAGCACCAAGTGACGCGACTTCCCGTGGGCACACCTTATCACGTGCTCTGAACATGTACCTCTTAGCTAGTGGAAAGTTACAGGGGGGTGATAGTTATACAAGCCTAATGTAATTAACCCACATTTATATAAATACTTCTGCCTATAAGACAGGTGCAAATACAATTGAATTTTATTTTCACAGAGTCCAGAGAAGAAAGTGGCAACATGTCTGCTGATGTAGCAGAGGAACTGGTCTTCCACTGCACAGATGACCGGTTCTTCTTAGAACCAGTTAACTCCAAGCAGCTCTTGGTAATAGATCGGGTCAACCATGAAATCACACTAGAAGAAAATAGTGGTCAGATCCCCTTCAGTGCTTCAAGGAAGACTGTGTATGGGCTGGTTGGAGTTATCCATCTTATAGCCGGACCATATCTGATTTTGATAACTAAAAGAGTGAAAGTTGGAACCCTAAACAAGCAGACAATATGGCGTCTAGCTGATACTCAGGTTGTACCCTATGCCAGGTCAACCACCTCCCTAACTGCTGAACAGAAAGTTTACAATGACAAATATCTAGGGCTGGTTCAGCAAATTTTATCAACCCCATACTTTTACTTTTCTTACACATATGATTTAACACATACCTTACAGAGACTATACTATACTGCAGAAGATTTCCTCCAGATGGCATTGCATGAGCGTGCTGATGTAAGATTTGTTTGGAACCAGCACTTGCTAAGAGATCTATGTGTTCAACCAGAAATGAGTGCTTTTTGCCTGCCTTTGCTTCATGGTTTTATATCCATCAAACCATGTAGCATCAATGGAGAATGGTTTACCTGGACATTGATTTCTCGTCGTAGTGTCTACCGTGCAGGAACTCGTATGTGGATGAGAGGCATTGATCAAGAAGGCACAGTTGCCAATTATGTCGAAACTGAGCAGATAATTGAGTTCAGGGACTTTCGTTCATCATTTGTTCAAACAAGAGGATCCATCCCACTGCATTGGTCACAAGAACCAAACCTTAAATACAAACCTGGACCTTTGATTGGCAATGCCAACCATGAGGAGGCATTTACACGTCACTTTGAGTCCCAGGTGCTCTGTTATGGCAAACAAGTTGCAGTAAATCTAATTGACCAAAAAGGTGTTGAAGGTAAGTTGCATGAAGCATTTAAACATTTGATTGAGACCAGTGTTAGACAGATGATAAGAGATAATGTAAGATACGAGTATTTTGATTTTCATCACGAGTGTCGGAAAATGCGATGGGACCGGCTAAGCATCTTGATGGACCGTGTGGGGCCCGATCGCGAATCATTGGGTTATTTCTTGTTCCGAGATGGTGTAGTTCTTTTAGAGCAAGAGGGCATTTTCCGTACCAATTGCATAGATTGCTTAGATCGTACTAATGTAGTACAGTCCATGCTGGCGAGGAAGCAACTGCAATCTGTTCTTACACGAATGGGAATCCTCAGTGAAAATCAGAAAATAGAGGATCAGTTCTCCTTTGAAATTACTTTCAAAAATGTTTGGGCTGACAATGCTGATATCCTGAGCACACAGTACTCTGGGACTGGAGCCCTAAAGACAGATTTCACTCGCACTGGAAAGCGAACTCGTATGGGCCTTCTAAAAGATGGATGGAATAGTGCCATTAGATACATTAAGAACAACTTTTTTGATGGTGATAGACAAGATGCTATAGATCTTTTCCTTGGTAAATACCAAGTAGAATCGGGTGAGGGTGCATCACGTCCCTGTCCACTAAAGGAAAACCGAGATCCCAGATTACTGTTCCTACCAGGAGCTGTTTTTATATCTCTGCTCATGGTCTTTGCCTGTGTATTGCTTCCCTCAGACTATACATCATTTACACTATTATCACTACTCTTCTGGGCAGCCATGACTGTTGTTGCTGTGTTCGCCACACTCATGCAAGGTCGACAACTTGTTAATGCTCCCCGTTTAAGTATGTCAGCACTTAACCATCTCACAGTTCCTCCGAGAGTTGATTAAAGCCTTCTTGGTTGATTTGGGTTTGGAGCTAGTCTTAATTCTAATTGATTCTTATTTATATATATATATATATATATATATATATATATATATATATATATATATATATATATATATATATATATATATATATATATATATATATATATATATATATATATATATATATATATATATATATATGTAGATCCACAATGAAAACATGGATAGATAATGTTCAAGACATCTTCAGAGGCCTCTGAAGATGTCTTGAATAAAGAAAGCTAAGATTTTATATATATATATATATATATATATATATATATATATATATATATATATATATATATATATATATATATATATATATATATATATATATATATATATATATATATATATATATATATATATATATATATATATATATATATATATATATATATACATATACTGTAAAGGTATTTTGATAAAACAAATAATATACAGTAATATAGTATCACAAAACCACTGAGTTTCAGAGTTAGGAGGGTGTTGGACACCTCTTGAAAAGTCCACTTTATTATTATTTAAATCCTTACCGGTATATCCTTGTCTAAATTACCCTCATATAAAAGGAAATGGCTTTACAGATCAAAGAAAAAGCACACCCGGTAATTTTCATGGGGGGGGGGGGGCTATAAGTCTCAAACCCCATAAGCAGTTCATTAGCTGCACACGCTCAACCCCACAAACCTAGTTATCCCCCAAAAAATTTATTTCCTGTCCTCCGGTTCTGTCATGACATGTTAATTGGAGATTTCCCATTACTGTACTGTATATGAATTGCATGTTTTAACAAAATACAGATTTACACTTCAAAGCACCATCCACTTTATAATGCTTGCCATTTTTATATGATGTGCTGGTGTGATTGGAACTTTATATTTAACTGTGACAGATGTACTGTATATTATATATTTGACTGAAAGTCTCTAAAAGTCCATTGCCTTGTTTACTATTCCACAAGAGCTACAAATTCTGAAGTGTTTAGTGAGTAGCTTAAATTTCCCTGTTGTATTTATAATTGTTTTCTTCACTTGACATCTTTTGTGTTGATTCTCATTGTTTAAGATGAAATGTTAACCAGAGCTTCAGGGCTTATATAGATATAGAGTTAGTTACAATGAAAACCTCGTTGAAGAACAGCACAGACGAGTTGATCTTTGTAGTAAATGCTGTGCCTCCCTTGACTGAAAAGATATTTTGATTTCAGATGGAGGTGAATGGCATTTTAGCTATGAAATACATTTTAAAATTTAGTAATGGCAAGTCAGTAAATGATCTCCTTTTGTGGTAATGAAATTTACACATTTGAAAATTTTGAGTGCTGAGATTTTCCAATGAAATACACTTGATTCCAAATTTATTTTAATGTTCATTTTGTTTTCCTTTTACTGTACTAGGTACAAGCAGTGCTAGGTATTTGTAGGGTAGACATGGTACCATCATTCATGGCTGATATTTAGTACCCCCCAGTATTTAAACAAGAATGATTGATGAGAGATGTACAGTATTGTACTGTCATATTCCTTTAAGTCACATACACGGCAAACAAAAGGTACCGGTACATATTTTCTTTTATGTGGTGCTGTATCATAACTTAACAAGATAAAAAAATTTCAACTTTTAAAGATGAATGATGGTTCCTGACAGTCTTTATAGTAACCATTCCATGATTAATTTTTGTTTTTGGTGTGTGTAAAATAAATGTATTTTGCCATCACCAGCAGTAGTGTAGTATATATGCAAAACACTCCATAAACTTAACAAGAAAAAGTGACTGCAAAGTATACATGTTGAATAAATATGGAATCATTATTTATTATTTATTTTTATGTTTTGGGACAATGGAAGAATGAATTAATGAAACTAAATTTTTTTTTATGTAACTTGATTTTCATCATTTCTATAGGGTTTTAAGCTTGTGAAATACTGTACTCCTGATGCTCGCTATATGCGAATTCGCAATTATGCGAGGACCTTACTTCTCACAATTCACTTAATGTGAAAAAATTTGGTATTATGCATTCTGTGCAAGATATGGGAAGAGGAAAAACTGGGGATGTGGTGGCCTGTGAGAAGCATGTTGCCATTTTTCTTATTTTAAATTGTTATACTATATCTTCTTTATTTCTATGACGCATAAGAGTATTGTAATGGTTTTTCTACGTTTTTTATAGCATTGCTGTTGTGTTTTAGTGTGTGTCTGTTATAAAAAAGTGCCAGAATTAAGGTTGGGGGAGCTCCAGAAATGGTTGTGGAACACATCCACATTTTCCCCCAAAGATTAGTAATTCACATTATGCGATTTCAAATTACAGTATGTGAGGTTTTCACAGCGTAACCCTAGCATAAAGCGAGTGTCAGGTGCTACTTGTATGTTAAAGTTTCCTTCAGCAGGAGCAGTTTGCAAAAAGAGAAGTTTGGTGTACTGTGATGCCATACAGGCCAATAATTCCCGTTACTTGCCTTTTTATTTTCAATAGGGGATGACATTCAAGCTGGGGATTACATTGCTATTCAGAAAGTAGGTAGAATGTTGATATTGTAATCGTAGTGGCAAAAATCTTGCTGTGGCACTGACTTTTACTAATGTTTCGTATCTAAGGGTTAAGGCCCGTGACAAATATAAGTAAGTGTATTTAAATGTGAATTACTGAATGGTTCTTCAAATTTGTATTGGGAAGAACTCCAACTACGATACAATGTATGATTGAATGTAGCTCCTTTTATAAGTGACTCTTATCACTAACAATGAAAAAGAAAATAATCACATTGAACATGCCAAGTTACTCTAGCATTACAGACATCACTGATAAACAATTCAATACACAATTATAAAATTTAATGCAAGTAACACAAATACATAAAACACCAAAACAGCCACTATGAGTACATCCCCAGAAGTGAACTGACAATGTAAGCCAGTGGTGAAAGTCCAGTTGACTACCCAAGCATGTGTGTGTGTGTGTGTGTGTGTGTGTGTGTGTGTGTGTGACTGACCTGGGTCTCAAGTCGTCTGGTTCTATGGGGGGTGCTAGGAGCACGCTGACTTAAACATCATACTTAACAAAGCAATGTTAATGTTAGATTATTGAAGTTGATATTATGATTATTCACTAAGACAATATACAGTGTAATGCATATACAGGTATCCCTCGTTTAACAATCATTCACTAAGCGATTTTTTTGGTTTAGCGATTCAAAATTTTTATCTTCCTTTCTTATTTAACAATCGTCAATTTTTGGTTTAGCGATCTTTAGCTCACTGGAAAAATTTGGGAGGGAAGTCAGAAAACCTGGGGATTCTGTGCTCTCAAGTGCACATCATTACAATAGTACTGTAATGTGGCCTAGGAGGAAAGAAAATATTGTACTGTAGTATATAGTATTTTACAGTTTTACAGTATATGTACAGTGCTATAAAACTATAAAATACGAAAAATAAAGAGCATGGGTGTGGGGAGTGAACGTATGTATTGAGGCAGTGAGCTATAACTGTGGCCAGCTGCACTCTCCCTCCTCCCAAAGTGATGTTATGGCATACAGCCAGCAGCCCAGATAAACTGTCATGTGTACTGTACTGTATTGCACCAGTAAATGTGAGGAATGAATAAATAATAATAATAATAAATAAAAGAAAATAATTTTTTTTTTTGCATTGCTATTTGGTAATCATTTCACGGGACACGAGACAGAGAACAGCTGAGAGATCCTCACGCCGATTCCCCCTTCCCCTGCTCTGTGGGCTAACTGCCGAGCATGTAAAAAAAAAAATTTCCCCTTTATATTTTTTACCTTAATTTTTTTTTGGGGGGTACAATCTATATGAATAATTGAGTGTGCATGTAACAGTAAAAAAAAAAATGAAGAAAATTATGTATATCTACCCAAAATTACGAGTTAAAAATTAACATAGCTCACAGCTCAGCCTCACCCACTCTGAGTGCTACTGGGTGGCGACTTGGCTACGCAGTTACATGCCTTCTTCATGGATAATATTCCTTGTTATCCCTCGTTATATTTTTTTTTTATCACTTGTTTAGCAATCATTTCGCTTAACAACTGTTTTTTCAGGAACACACCCCAGTCATTAAACTAGGGATACCTGTACTGTCAAAAAATATATTATACAGTAATACAATATATACGTATAAAGAATACACACACAGGTACAGTACGTCTGTCAGGGACAATAGTGGCCAAGACACGTAAAAGTACAGCTCGTGAAGTAATTGGTTGTTCGGTGTTGTAAGATACGTTGCATGTAGCTCTTAACACTTCACTGTTTACACTATTCAATTATCAGTTTTTACAGAATGGCTCGGCTTGAATGGAAAGAGAAAACAAGGTTATTAATGAAGCCAAAAAGATTGCATTCCATACAATACACCATTGTCATAGGGTAGCATCTTACTAAGTGAAAAGACTCAATGTACAGTAATGTGATAAAGAGTGACCAGTTATACACATACTATTGCCAGGGACTAATGAGAATTATTTGGTACTCTGCTTGTATTTTACTTCCTTTGTACTGTTAAAAGATTATATTCTCAACGTACTGTACTGTACAGGTACAGTATTGGAAACAATATTTGAATGTTATTTGGATTTGTGATGAGCATTTTCTTCATGATTTTTTCCTTTAACTGCATGATTTAAAAACTTAATATAATAGTACAGAGTACCAAATGGAGCAATAATATTACTCTACAGTACTTTGTTTCATTAGAGTACTTGTGTAGAATAATTATCACTTGAAGGTTGTACAATATTGAAATAATTTTCAAAGAATATTCTAGATAGGAAAAATATTTTAAAAAAGTGTAATGGTGATATCAGCAGTACTACATGTGTTTTGTGACATGTTGACTCTAAAAGGCAAATTACTGTATTGCATCAAAGATATACTTTGCTATACAGTACAGTACTGTACTATTAATCTGGGTGAGCTGAGTGTGGACAGATTTTTATGAATAAAGGGAAACTAAAACCTGTGAGGGAGTGTTGGCAGTTCAATACAGAACTCCCTCCAGTAGATGAATGGTGGTTGGTAGCTTTGTTCTACAAATGTGATGATTATGTAGCTTATACTCCATAT